CGCCCACGTTTTATTGAATAGACAATAACAAAATCTAATATATTTTTTAGACGTCAGAAGTTGAAAATACTGGGACCATCTCGAAAAAAAAGTTGTTAAAATAGTTGAGAAACGGTATTCTGATTTCCTGATTATCTTCGGTTTAAATACCAGTTTTCTAGGAGCTGAGATATAGGCTTTTGAAGTTTAGATGTCTGCCTTGTGGCGAGCGAGAGACGCAGCGTGTCTCGTTGTCTGCGTCTCTCCAAATCTGAAAATCGCTGTATCTTGGCTCCCAGACGGCCTGGAAAGTTCTTTTTTTTCAAAGAAATCAATGTTTCAAGAACCCCATTTGATTGGTTTTATAGATAACTGAAACATTAAATGTCAATAGAATGATAATAACTTTCAGAATCCCCTGCAAGGCTTCCAAGCGAGCTCTCTCCTCCCAACATCAATGCTCACTCCAAAATCCGATTTCGAGGAAGATACGCCAGAACGAGTTGCCACTCCATCACCAATGGATATTCTCAACAGAATGGTTCTTCAGCTGGACCAACGTAAACCATTTTCCCTGCGTCTTCCCGACAATTTTAAGCCACTCGGAGAGGCGGAATTGAGCAAAATTGATATGGCTCTTACCAAATACTTGTTGATTCATAATGAGCTGAGAGAGGAGTTGATGGCAAAGAAGCATGAGATTCCAACATTCTTCCCAGAAGCCAAAAGGGAGGAGTTGAGAATGTTTGTGGCGGATTACTGTAGACAGGACGCAGAGTTTCATATGCTGAAAGTGGAGGGGAGAAATGAGGTGAGTTTCAACATCGGCAGATTGACTGAATGAATTTTGAAACTTCCAAAAATTGTTAATTCAACGAAACAGTAGAATTTATTCGGACTGTATCGACTACATGTTTCAAATTTGCTAAGCACTTTGAACAAACCTAGAGTTTCCTTTTTCTTGCTGACAAGCTTTTTTGGAAATCAGTTCGTGAGAAAATACCGTAAAACTTGTAAGGACACTCTTACTTTTACCTTTGAGCTAACTTTTTTCGGTTCCTGTCAAAGATATGAAAAGGTTGTTAACTGATAAATTGTTTATCATAATATCAGAAACATTTTGTTCTTTGACACATTTTTGATATCTTAAATAAAAATTGAGATGATTGAACTCAAACGTGAGGGGGAGGGAGGCCTTCTGTTAGAGGATTTTGAGCTAATTCTTCTGAGCGATCTACCTTCTCAGGATACAATATATTGAAAAAAACTGCTATTACAAAAACGAAGCTCTAGATTTGTTTGATCTACTCAACAAGTTTGAGAAAAGACAAGCAACTGTAAAGCCAACTTTTAGAGAGTCAAACTACAGTGAACAAAAAAAAACAGACACGAATCTAGCCTTCCTTTTTGACCCGTAACTTTCTTCATGGGCCAGATACAGCTTTTAAAACTATACCATTTTGTAGTGCTTGATTAATTCTTTAATATTCAATTTTTCGTCAAAAGATACTTAGCTTGAAAAGAGTTATGGTCCGGCTTGTCTTTTGGCCTGTTTTGGCCTGTGTGAGCTTCATTGGTAACGTGTATTTATTTATTAATTAAGACCTTCCGTCGTGGAAAAAGAGAAAAAAAAGAAAAAAGGAATACAATACAATCACACAAAACACAGATACACGAATAACTAGACAACGCATTCAATTAAAGTGGAGAACCGAATAGTAACACTATTTCCAACTAATAGCACATAACCATCAACACATACACACATACAGAATATAATGTAAGAACATCTTACCATAAGCATGCCCTATATGTATTGTCTAAAAATATAAACTCTTTGAAGCAGCAAAAAATGAATTCAGATAACAAAATATGAGAATGTGGTATTGATAATTTTTCAGTAATTAATCTGTTAAAAATTTGTAGCCTGGAAGAAGTTATGGTCCGGTTTGTCTTTTGGCCCGTTCTGGGAGGCTTGCAAGTATTGGCTTCATTGTCTCTGCGACCATGACAAATATTTTAACCCTCTGAAACAGTAAAAAATACATTGATAACTTTCCAGAAATCCATCCGCACCGCCATCGAGTCCCATCTCAACCAGACATCCACGAAAGCTCTCATGATGAGTATCTCCCCAAAAATCAACGTTCCACTCTCGCAACAAATGATTGACGACTGGAAAACTGAAGAATTCATTCGTCTGGATTCTTCAAAACCCAACCATTGGAAAATTCATCATGTCACTAAACTTGATCACTGATTAGCTGATTTTCGAATTTTCTACTTGATGGTGTTTGCCGACGATTACTGTAGCATTTGAACCTTCTTACACTTTTCCTAACCCTCTAGTTTTAATCATTTTTCAATTAATAATTTTTAAAACTATTTGCACCTTAGTATCATTCCGAAAACCGTATCTCCCCATCAAAATCACTTTTTTTAAAAAATTTTTCGGGTTTTTTTCCCATTCCTTGCTTTTTTCTCACAACGATTCTAATTTTTTATTTGATCTCTCTGTCCCTTCTCCCAAAAATCCTTTCATTCTTTTACTGATAATTAATTACTTGCTCAGACCTTCTGACTTCATTATGTGTATTTATTTTTCGAGTTTTGTATTTAACACTGAACTTAAATAATATGAACTGATATGATACTACTTCGGATTTTTTTTTGTTTTGACAAGAAAAAATTTAAAAACTATTGGGTTAACAAAATACTAGTTACAATAGTTCAGACGGTCTAGACGGGTTGAAGAACCAAAGTTTTCATATTTGGAAGTTTCGGCCTGCCCAGAATACTGAATTTGAATTTAATTGAATCAAGATGTCTTAATTTTGAAAAATTAAAATTTGACGTAAAATGTTCTGTTTCAAAAAGTGCAAAAAAAAATTTCGAAATGTAGGTGAAGTTTTCAGTGGGCCTTCTGATTCATAAGCGTTTTTTACAGAAGCTAGTGATTTATTTAGTGAGTTTGAACTGTATAACAGACAGAAACAAATGTGTCAAAAGTAATTTCACCAAAACCTGTGTGAAATTATGCAATTTGAGAAAGCTTAATAATTTATTAGAGTTTGAAATCGGAGAATTTTCGTTGATCCAAACAAAATCGTACTGACACTATTATGATAAGTTTCATAATCTGACTAATGTGAAACGGCACCATTAGAGTTTTTTTTGAAAACCTTGATTTCCTATTTCCAGTTGTTCAGTTGAAAATGACGCCCTTGCCGTAAAATGTAACCGTAGTTAGGTATGTCTTTTTTTTTTAAACATTTCACCGGTTTCAGAATATTGGTATTATAAACCTGTTATTCTAAACAACAATGCCCCATTTCTTCTTGATTTCAAACATTTTCCTTGTTTCTCTTTTATCTTCTGCGTTAGATGAGCATAACTTTATTTAAGACGCGCTTTCAAAATTTACATAAATAATACCACAAGTGATCTTGAGATCATTATTGTTTGAACTAAAAAATGATCAATACAAAAAGGTAAAAATTAATCGAGAAGTTTTTAATAAAACATGGTAAGCAGAGGAAAATTGGTGAGCAAATGAAACCGAGAAATAAAGACATATGAATCGGTTAAAAAGTGCAATTGTATTTTAGGCATTTCGAGTAAACGAAAGTTCCGCGAAACCTTTGACACCCAGCTTATCTTGATTCTTTTGAAAGATAACATAAATCAGTCAGCTAAGAAAATAATTACCATGTTATAATGAATATTTTTTAGTTGACCACTGTGAGGTATCTTTCACAGGGAATGAGAAAAATTAGGTTAAAGTTAAAAAGGGTATTACAGATTTTAGGGGTACATAAAAATGAGCTTTGAATCTAATTTAGCAATGTTTGGTTATCTACTGAATATTCATTTTGGTTTTCAATTTCTTTGGAAATCAATGTTTCCATCGTTGCACTCGTCTCATTGACATTCGAAACAGCAACAACATCCAATCCCTCCTTTGGAACATATACAGGTCCTCTCAACAATTTTAAAATGATCGAAGTGTGATATTGATAAGATTGCTGATACGGGTTCTCCATATAAATACAAATTCCAGCTACATATCTCTTTCCATCCACATTGTAATAGCAAGCTTCAATTCTGTCATCTCCAATCATTTGATACTCATAATAACTATCATCTGGTCCTTTTTGAATCGCATCAAAATCTCCAGGAATACATCTGTTCTTGAAATTCGGCATTGCAATACACAGAATGACTGTAGAGTCTGGAATCACATCCAAATCGATTTTCTCGTTATCAAAGTGTTGATCCAAAATTTTTCGTATCTTTTCCGTAATCCTTTTTGATCTATCCTTCCAAACTTCATTTTTTCTTTGTTTTTCCATTCGCCGGATGAAGTACTTTGTATAAATCGCGAATCTTCCAACTTCTGATTTCTTTATCATTGACAGATCGTAAAGAGAAACCCATTTTGGACGTTTTGGTTCTTTTGTGATCTTTTGGAATTTCCAAGCTTTTCGGCGACGGCGTAAAGCATCAAGAGCGTAGGAACCCTGAAATTTTTTTTATAGTTTTTGAAGAACGAATTTTGAAACTCACCAAAACTACAATCAAAACAACAAGAGAACCACCAATCAACAAAATGGCTTTTCCTATTCTGGTTTCCTTTTCATTTTCATGAATGTTCATCAAAACCATAATGGTTTATGGTTAATGGTTTATGGTTTTGCTCCTGAAAAATTACGTTATAACTGTTCGAAAGTTATGAAATCGGGAAGAAAACAGTTCAAGAAACTCAAGAACCGATTTGAAACATTTATTTTTCAAAGGGAATAGGATTGAAAAAAACAATATAGTTCCTTTATATAGAAAACTCTTTTTGAAACATCATTGCGAAACACAAATGATTCTTGGAAGATCAGAGAATCAAAAAAAGACAAAAGACGAAAACTTTCGGTACAAATGATATCATACATTTTTTCCAGATTTTGATGCTTTATGCCTAGTCGAAAGTATCGCGAATTCCAACAGATCACAAATAATGCTAAACACCTAAATGGGCGATTTATCAATTTTGGAAGGATAGATCAAAGTCAGCATTAATTTATTCAGGCAACTCATAAACTTTCAAAAAATCAACTGTATCATTCTTATATAAATAAACGAAGTTGCGTATCTTTGTCAATTTGCACGATTTTTGAACAGCTTGAAAGTTGAATATAGATTGACGGGACTCTTTGAGAAAGATAAATCAAAAAGTGAGGTGCGACGGAAAATTCGACGCAGGCGCGCCAGCCAGGCTAATTAAGATAAAGGAAAGCGTGAAAAATTCTCACTGAAAATCTACTGAAAATCGTTTTTTTTTGTGATCGATTTTCCTGTTTTTGAGATAGGAAAATGAATTCGAACCAGATTTTCTCAATTATTATCAACTGAAAAATGTTAAATTTTGAATAAAGTACTCTGAATTTATAGATCTATCCATTCATGTCACTTGTATCGAAACGATAGTTTTTGAGTAGAAAATTAACAACATGACAGTTTTTTTTAAAAGGAAGTGATTTAAAGGCGGTGTGCGGTGAAAAATTTTATTGCTTTATTTTGTGCAGAAATCCAAGTAGATCCCCATAAAAATAAAGAAAAAATTCAAAAAAATTCCTTCATTGAGAAAAACGGCATCGAAAAGTCAAAGTGGGAACCGATGGCCGCGGCCAGGTGTGAGTTTTTCAGGCCAACTGTCGGTAAAAGCGCGCGAAATTCGAATTTTTATTGATTTTCGGTGTTTTCTCAGATGTCTTTTAAAGATTTCAAAATGTTTTTGTTAATTTCCTCCCAGGTGTATGAAAAAACCTGACAAAAATCTGAGAAAACACTGAAAATCAATAAAAATTCGAACTTCGCGCGCTTTTACCGGAAGTTGGCCTGGAAAACTCACACCTGGCCGCGGCCATCGGTTCCCACTTTGACTTTTCGATGCCGTTTTTCTCAATGAAGGAATTTTTTAAAATTTTTTTCGTTATTTTTATTTTTCGTTATTTTTATTTTTATGGGGATCTACTGGAATTCTGCACAAAATAAAGCAATAAAATGTTTCACCGCACACCACCTTTAACTAGGTAAATGTTCTTGAATGGATACTGAAGAAGAAGAAGTTATTTTATGACCAGCAACGATGAATATTCCAAATTAAATATGTAAGTGGGCGAGATGTGAAAAACTGAACTATTTTGAAATGACAGTGTTCAAAAAAAATGTTCGAAAGGTTAATGTTATGCCCTATGTTTTACAGTTCCGCTGATCTTCGGTAAAAACGTGCCAGACAACTTCCGATGGATTTTCGGGAAGACAATTCGTCCAAAGAAATGTGAGTTTTCATACAATTAGTTATGTAAATAATCTTTAAAGTTCTTTCAGAAACACCCTGCCAAGCCCAACGCCAATAAAGCTGGATAAGAGGAGTAGGAAAGTTACTTTCATCGAAATTCGACATCTTCGACACAATCTTCTCTACAAATTTAAATAATCGTTTTTCTTTCTTTTTTGTTACTCTTTTTTTTAGTATTTGTATTTGAATAAACTGTCCAATTTAAGGAAAATCTCGTGTTTAATAGATCTGATTTTGAAGAAAGAATTTCAAAAAAACGGTACACATGAGCACGGCAACGGCACGGCAGCGGCACGCAAAATGAACGCGTGCCCCAACCCCCGGGCACGATTACCGCTTTGCAGCGGCACCGGTGCCCCAAGTAGCGGCACATGTGCCAAAAATTTGCTGAGAATATTGATGAGACGGGTGAAAAGATGGAAGCAGTAATGGCGGAGGATTTCTGTCTGTGCTTCTTTCCGAATTCAAATTTGTTTTCTGTTTCACTATTTCGTCTTCTACTGAAATTAATTCCTGGGATAATACCGAAAGGAAGGAATTTAGATTTTGTGTGACATCTGAAAATTCGAATTTTGGAAATACATTTTTTGACAACGAAAGAATATCCGAAGTTCAGTACAGATTGTTAACTTTTGTTAACTCTCCATTCTTGGTAATTGTGCATGTCACCATTGGAACTTCTTCGAAGTTACGTCATCGTCCAATTTGCACCCATGGAGCACTGACGTAGCTGAAAAGAGCTCTTTTTCGTCTCTCATGTTTCAAAACACAATTTCTTTGGGAATAGTGAAAATACGTATGGAAATTGAGAGAGAGAGAGAGAGAGAGAGAGAGAGAGAGAGAGAGAGAGAGAGAGAGAGAGAGAGAGAGAGAGAGGAGATACTTCCTCTTCTTCTTTTTCGCTCTCATTCTAATACTCTTCAGGCTCGTTTTTGTGCTCACTGTCTATGCTTTTTTTTTCGATATTCAACTTTTTCTGTTTCACTATCTTGTTTTTTGCTGATTAAATTTTGAGGGAGGTTTAAAAGATACCGGAAATATTTTGAAAATCTAGAAGTAAAAAATTTTTGAAAACAGATTTTCTAACTTTTATGCCAAATGAGATTTTTCAGTGCTAAAACAAACGAATTGAAACTTAATTTAAAAAAAATCAAAACAATCAGACCATCGCTCAATGACTATTTTCAAATTTAATATTTTTCATTTTGAGAACTGTTTGAAACGTTTAATTTAAAAAAAAAAATCTAAAAATCCTTACAGCAACCCGGAATTTTCAGTTTTCTCAAATATGATTATTTTGAATCAAATTGTATTTCAGAAAAATTGTAGACTTCCTTCAAAATGCTAAAATGAAAAGTTCACGAAACAGAGAAAGGCTTCCGATTTAGGGAGAATTGAAAAACAGTTCTAAAACCTCCTAGAAGCTTTCAGATAGTGAAGAATTTCGGCTTTTTCAAAACTTCAAAATGAATATTTTCAAGATTTTTTTCTACATAATCACCAACATTTCGAAATTTCCGATTTCCAATTTTTGAAAAATTAAAGGATGAGCTCATACCGAAAAGTTGATGATATATCGGAAAATACAACGTTCGATATCAAAACCTACGCCTCCGTTTGTTTTGGAATCTTTTTTGTAAGTTTCTAAAGAATTGTTTCTTTTTTGCATAAAAATATGTAGATTGACCTGAAAGCAAAGATAAAATCCTAAAATCAGAGAAACGAAGTTTTCCGAAATGATGGTTCGCCGAGCGGGGATTTTCTAGCGAAAACTTTCGTTCGAACTTTTTAGAATTTCAATTTCTACGGAAATTGTAAATTTTTTTGAAGTTTCATTTTTCTGTTTCTGACAAGTATGAAAAATCAAGCAATTTTGTGAGAAAAACGTTCAGCTACCAGTAAACGTAATGATTCTGAAAAATTCGAACAGGAAATTTTTGCGAGCTGGCCTGGGGACTAGAAAACAAACGCTCGGCCACCAGGCCACTGGATACCATTTCTGGGATAAATAGATTTTTTCGGTGCAAATTTCATAATTTGAGGATTTTTCTTTATTTTTATGTGAATTTACTTATGTTTCAGCACAAAATTGAAAATTTCAAAAGTTAAATTTCAAAGTCCCAGCTTTCAGATTGTCTACTTCATCTGGTGGCTGATTGTATTCATAAAATCTCGAAAAATTCACAAAATCACAAAATTCCCAAAACAACCGGAATGGCTACTCAGGAATACTGTAGACGCATTCGATAAGGATGAGCAACAATATTTCACAATCTACGTGTCAAGTCAAAGAAGGTCATGGATTAGATACCCAAGGAGCTTGAAATACGAGTCAAAAAATACATTGAAAAAAATGAGGAAATTATTGGAAAAGCATTTTCAAGCAAACGTCGATGTTCCGGATACAACTCATCTGTTTTCGATTCCAATGAAAAATTTCAAAAGCGGAGAACTTTTTGGAACTTTCGATTCGATTCACGGAGGACCACCCGACAGCTTTTATGAGTATCAATTGATTGGAGATGATCGTATTCAAGTGGCTTATTTTGTTGTGAATGAGGTCAGATATGTGGCTGGAATATGCATTTATTTTTTGGACCCTTATCAGCACTGGAGCCGATATAGGGAAACTATGCTTCGGAAACTTTTGAAGTCTCCAGTATATTGGAATAAGTATAACTTGAAAGAGGATCAAATGGAAGTGATGGATAGTGGAACTCTTCGAACCACCAACCGATATGGGGAAGTTAAAAGTTTTCGATTTAATGGGAAAACAAGGAAATTGGAAATCGAGGAGCCTCGAGAAGTATGTCGGGAAGTGATAAGCTACCAAGATCTCGACGAGCTTCAAATATCAATTTGCAAGACAAAAAATCATTTGGTAACCATATCTGAGAAACATGGAATACGGCTACATGCTTATTGGGATCACAACAGGATACATTATTTTAAGTGCCCTAGTTGTGCAGAACCGGATGATGATTTACCACCGTCTTATCAATGGATACAGGATAATCAGAAGATGAAGAATTTTAAATCTTGATTGGAATCTTCGGGTTGTAACTTTCAACAAATTTTTTACGAAATAAATAGGGTAAAAGTCAAATTCCCAGATTTTAATGGTCTTCTTACTTTGGCTTGATTCATCTCGGTTGCTAGGAAAGATATCAAAAATAAATCTACTGATAAAATGTTGGTGATATTATGATAAGAAATGTATCGGTTGATAGATTTTTGATATCTCTTAAGGGAGCCGAGATAATTGAGCTTATAATATACACGTTTCATTTACGATGTCAAATGTTTCTCATATTCCGCAAGGCTATAGCTGTCAGATGTGCTTGACAGGACCAAGATATAGAATAGTGGGTCAACCGCCATTAGTTTTTCGTACACATGACGAACAGTGCGCGGCTTAGAGGGGACATATGGTCCACGAACACCCCCCCCCCCCTCTCACACACACGATCCCCCGTTCTCTCTGTGAACAGCCACGACCGCCCAAAACGTTTCGGCTACTCATCCACCGCCCCACACAGGTCCCAAAGGCAAACGCGCCCTGTCGCACTTGCCCTTGAGATCCCTTTATCCATTCAATACATTTTCTCAATTCGCTCCCAATTATTCGTTCCCAAATGAGCGCCGCCGATTTCTCTTCACAATTTATTATGTATACAGTGCTTACCGCAGCTGTTACTGTTTGCACGCTATCTGAATCACCTACAGTAGATGATTTCATAGGTGCAAGTTCCGAATTGGATTATCGCTGCATTCTTTTGTTCATAATCATAGTGGTTAGGCTGATAGGTTTAATTTGAGCATTTATTTGTCATGATTGGAATTGGTTGAACAGAGATGACTCTTATTACGAAAACCATATATTCAGTTCGCTTGTTGGAAATTTGTATTATCTATCTATTCTGTTTGGGTTATCCTTCTTTTTTGATGAAACTTCAAAGGTGAGAGCGAATTTATATATGAAAATATTCGAAATTTCAGAAAATTCTAAAATTCTAAAAAAAACTGATAGTTCGAGAGTTCTGAATATTCCAAAACTCAGGGATTTGAAAAATTCTGGAAGTTCAAAAAATTTGAAAATTCAACAATTCTGAGAATTCAAAAATTCGGGAAATAAGTTCGGAAAACTCGGTAGTTCTAAAAATTCTATAATTCTGAAAATTCTGAGTTTCTGAAAATTAAAAAAACACCAAAAATTCGAGAGTTGTGAATATTAGATAACTCTGGAAATTCAAAAATTTCTTGAATTCCAAGTTTCAGGAATTTCTCGAGAATTATGAAAATTCGAAAGTTTACAAAACTTCTAAAAGTTTTAATTATCTAATAATTCTAAATTTCGGAGATTCGGAAAATTTCAAAATACCGAAAGCTCAAAGATTCAGCAAACTCGAAAGTTCTGAAAAAAATTCTGAACGTATTCTGAAAAAAAAATTCTAAAAAAATTCTGAAATTCAGGAATTTCAAAAATTCTGAATATCTAAAAATTCTTAAAACTCCAAAATTCTGAAAACTCCAAAAACCGCCAAAATTCCAATTCTTCCAGGTACACTATGCGGTATTCTTCACAATTTCCCTTATTTTTTTCATTCATCATTTGTACCACACCTGGGGAATTTCGGACATTGCTCGCATCGATATACTCAAAATTGGTTATGGATATTTCATAGTTCTTGCGATTCTTGAAGTTCCTGGAGCGTGTTTATGGCATTATATGGTTTGTTTTGTAACTTACAATCAACTATAACAAACTGGGTTTCTTTCAGGAATTTCAAACAGAGAGAGTCATCATTTTGGGATTTTTCATATGGTGCCTTTATGATTATTGTCTTGCTCCAAGATTTCTTTTTGTGGATCGACTGGTAGAAAAGTTGGAAGTTGAAGAAGTGAAAAAGAAGGCGAACAAAATGAAGAAGATGAAGAAGATAAAGAGCATAAAGTTGAAGCCTGGACTTTTTGGGCCTAAACCTCCTGGCTTACGCTTACAGTACCCATAAACTGATAAATAATTTTTTTCCACATTTTCTTTCAATTTATATTGGCCCGTCATTTCACAAGTTTTTAAAATTTCAAAAAACACACCCACGATTATGTGATTATGTGATTTTTTTCGAGTTTTTTCGATCTTGTTTGATAAAACAGACAAACAATCCAAAAAACAGAAAAATGGAGAAAATTATATTGAGAGCTCAACATTTGGCTCAAAAAGACAGGATTTTTGATACCGGGACTTCCGGGACTTCGCGGTCCGGCCTGGCTCGGAATTTTACAAGTATAATTTTTTCAAATGAATACTTTTCATACTTTTTCCAGGAAATGAGAAAAAACGTTCCAAGTTAGGCCAATTTTCACATGTTCTTGGTGATCTCGACATTTGATAGAATCAGAAAATAAAACCAAATTCACATTCATTTTTGTTTCCAAACCACCTGCTCAATTACCAACATCTTATAAGGCTAACCCCTATACTCCATTTCTGTACCTTCTCATGTTTTCAAATGTTTAATCCTCTTTTCATAACCCTAAGCTATGCGGATAAACCATCACTAACAATTTTTTATCTCGGCGGTGTCTTTGTATACTTTCTCATATTATTACTCATCGCCCCCGTCTATTTCCATGTATACAGAACGAACCGACAAAACGACAAAAACAGCTCGCCAGTTTTTTCTATTATCAATCATTTATTTGAATCTACGAAACTCGTGTTCATTCTGTTTTACCTGATTTTCTGCTCCAGTTTAGTGATGGTGAAAATTGACGCTTCTCAAAAATTGTGGCAGTATGCTAGGATACTAGCGTTGTTCTCCGCCATGTTGCTCATATTGATTGCTCAGTTCAACAATTGTCTGTTATCCGTGTTTTCTGTTCTGAAATTTCTAATTTTCTTTTTCCCAAACTCTGAGAAGCATATCTCGGAGAACGCCTTGCGGTGGATCCCTAGAATCGGTTATGTGTTTTTTTTTGCAATACTCGACTTCTTAGCAATGTATGAAGTACTTCCAATGGTAACATCAAAAAAATCAAGTGCGAATTTTCCAAAAAAAAACTGTTCCTCTTCTTCGATATCCTTTTGTTTGCCTCTGCATTTTTGTACGTTCCCATTTTCTACAGTATTCGTGCAGTGCGGTTTCTACCATCTATTCAAGCCAATCAACCTCAAAGATATATCATTTGGCAATTGGTATCAACATCTATCGTTAAAACAGTCTATATGATTTACTTTATACTGAATGAGGATCGATTGGGCCAGTTTATTTTTGCATGTCGAATGATAGATACTATGGCTATACCATTTTTAATCCAAGTATCATATTTGGGTTCTAATCGAAGAACAATGGTTACTGTATTTCGAACTTTGAAATGTGGAAATTTCTGGAAAATGTGGTGTTGTCCGTGTATTGAAACGAACAGAGTTGAACAGTCCGCGGAGTTGGTAGAATCAACTACATTACCATTGTACTGAAGTTTTGATGCACATAAAGTGATTTTTTGAATATGAACTTCTGGATTAAATATTTACTAAATATGTTTGAGCGTTGGTCATTTTCAGGTGAAAATTTAGAAATTGATAGGATCAGGAACTTGATAAAAAATTCATTAATTGATTTGTTGAAACACCTGCTTGATTTTTAATTTATTGTTTAGACCTAAAAAATATGTCAAGGCTTCTTGGGTTTCTCTAGAATTCAAGATTTTTATAAATTTTTGAACAGCGTAAACTCTTAAGTTTTTGGTCTATAAACATGAAATTTGCATTTCTATATTTAAGATTCTTGAGAATATCTAGGTTCGAAAAATGAATTTAAAAAACTTTCAAATTCTCTTATTTTTTCTCTATCGACCCATATAAAAACAAAGTTCACGTTTTCATTTTTTAGATTTTTCTAATTATCTGGATCCGAAAAATGAATTTTGGGATTTTAAATACACGTTTAAACCCCTTTATTATTTCTCTATCCACTCAAATAGGAATAAAATTCAGTTTCAGAATCTCGAGAAGAGAGGATTGATTTTTTGTTATTCATTTTTACGCGATTCTTTAAGCGTACAAAAGATTGAAGGAAAAAAAAAGAATAAAAAAGGAAACAGTAAATTAAATGAATTTCAATGATTTGGACTCTAATAGACGCCGCTAGGACGACTACCATCTGTCCGACGATTGTTCTTTGGCCTCTTTTTCCTAAAAGACTTTGATTTTGTCTCCTGTTCCTCGTTTACGGTCGGATCCTGTATTCTGAAAAAAATTGATCAGCTTAGGAAAGGCGTAAACCGAATTTTCTATATACAGTTTGAATTCCAGAGTTAGAATCAGAATTTCGAAAGTTTGACTAACTTTTCTGAGTTTCAAAATTAATTTTATCGAATACACTTATCTTTGAACTGAACTTCTTAATTTCCGTTGCTTAAGGTCATGAATAAAAGTCAAGAAAACTCTTCATAAGATTACGGGTACTGTAACATGAGGCCAGAAGGTTTAGCCCAGAGATGAATGAAGTTTTTGATTTGCAACGATACTGAAAATGGGAATGAAAAATGTTATGAAATCTATGGTTTAATTAACTTTAATTAACCGAATTGGGTACTCAGTGTACATTCGAGAAGTGTCTTTTTCTTTTGGGATGATGCTGAGGTTTATCTAGCCAACAATTACCCTAACATGACACATTTTCTCGCAAATAGTCGCTTTATTATTGATTACCTTCGGCCATTTTTCATATGGAAAAATACCGAGACACTGGACCTTCGAGGTTGTTTTTTTTTAAAAATAAAACAACCTCGAAGGTTCAACACCAAACGACAATTTCGAATGGAAATTTGTGTATTTTTTCCAAAAAATTATAGTCTATAAATTATCTGCTGATGATGTATGGGATGCGCAGCAAGTGAGTTGTTTTTGGATTATTGATGAAATGAATTTCTTTTTTAGAATCTCCAATTGGAAGGAAATGAACACCAGCGATACACTGTGATTTGTATTTGTGATGAGAAAGAGGAATTGATTCCCGATGAAATTGGAAGAACAAGAGGTGCAAGACGAATTCCAGGAAATTTTGATAAACATACTTCACTTGGTTTCCCGCTGAAACATATTGTCGGAATAAAAAATAAATTTAAAAAAAAGGCGAGAATCAAAGTACGCAAACACCGAGTCTCACTTTTTTTTATTCCGACAATACTCGAAGAGACGGAAATGGAATGACATATGTTTTGAAAATGGGAAAGTGTTGTGTCTCCTGGTGGCGGCATTGTGTGAACCACCAGCCAGACAGTATGTGAGTAGTAGATGAATAAGGACTTTATTCAGTGAATAGGGGACAACAGAATACTTTGGGGCAGGAGAGAGAGAGAGTATCAGAATGATCCGCCCCTTTATCTAGGAGTTCTGACCAATGGAACAAATAGTTACGCGCGTGATGACAATTAGCACAAACAGTGGTTATTGCGCGCGCCTACTTTGGGTAGATCAAACTAAGGCGGATATTAAACTTATAAAACTAATGAAGGTTTGCATAGTCTGCAACACCTCCCCTTTTAACTATGATGAACATACAAAGAATGAACTAGACTAAAAGAGATCCTAGAAATACTAACAATTCTTAAACTAAAGTTTGGGGCATTCCTAGATTAATGATACGATTTCTTATTCGGCTTCATGACGAACTTTGGTGTTGGTTTGACGGTACATGTAGATTTCCGGATGGGTTTTGGAGATGGTGCTGTGGGACTTCCAGGAAGTATTGGCGCTGGAGTCGGTGGTGAACGGTCGGGCCAGGTTGTTGACAACGGTGTCCAATCGATAGCGTCCATTGTGTCCATAGTGTCGAGTGGAACATCGAACGAAGTTGGAGTGTCACGACGGCGCAGTTGATTGGTGTGTCTAATCCAGAAGTTGTTGTTTTCCACAGTGACGCGGTACATAGTACGCCCAATCCGACGTTGAATAGTTCCTGGAATCCAAGTGGTAGTATTTATGCTACGGTAGTCTTTAACATAAACCTTATCTCCCACGTTGAAGTTGCGGCAACGTGCACCATGCTGGTTGTTGAACTGCTTCTCCATCTCTGTGTCGTGCGAGTTGGGAAGTTGGTCGGTTGGGAGAAGTTGATCCAGGAATGTACGGATCTTCCGGCCAATGAAGTTCTCAGCGGGTGATGAGCCATTTGGACTGGCGGTACAAGGCGAAGAGCGATAGCTCTGAAGGGAAAGATACAAGGAAGCATCTGGATTTCCCTCCCCCTTTAACTTGCCTAATGCCCTTTTAAGGGTATCCACAAAACGTTCTGCCTGTCCATTTGATTGTGGATGGAATGGCGCGGACCGAGTGTGTTGGATTCCTCGGTCTTTGCAGAAGTCGTGGAATTGAGCAGATGTGAATTGTGTTCCATTATCGGTCACCAGTGTCTCCGGATCTCCGAACTGTGCAAACATCTTTCGCAAAATGTTGATGGTTGCCGCTGATGTGGATGTGGTTGGAACAATTTCTGGCCATTTTGAGAAGGAATCAACAACTACTAGATAATAGGTTCCTTCGACAGGTCCGGCGTAATCCACGTGTACACGTTGCCATGGCTTTGTGGAAATAGTCCAAGAGCATAAAGTGTTACTTGATGGGATTCTTCGACACTGCCGCACACTGATCACAGCTTCTGTGGATGTTCTCAATGTCTTTGTAAGATTGACGGCCAGTAAACAAGAGTTCGAGCCAACTGTTTCATTCTCACCATTCCAGTGTGAGCACGATGGAGCATTTTGAGCACACGGGCTCTGAGTGATACTGGGATGACGATTCGATCGTTGAACATCAGACAGTCAGATACGATGGATAGTTGATCTCGTCGGTTGTGAAAAAAAGCGATTTGTGAGCTTTTATCAATATTATTTGGCCACGAACCTGAGGTTGTGTACTCGTACACTTCTGCCAAAAGTGTATCCTTTTTGGAATAGTCTTTGACCATTTCAGCTGTCACCGGCAATTGTTCACACGTGTTGACTAGATTTGTAATCACGTCCATTTCGACTTGGGCAATGACTCGATCTTCACATTCCTTCTGTTGGATTTGTTCGGAAATGAGTCTTGAGAGGGCATCAGCTTGTCCAAAGTCGTGAGTATTGACGTACTCGATAGTGAAGTCGTAATTGAGCAAGATTGTGGCCCAACGTTGGAGTCTATTTGCACTGTAAATAGGAATACCTTTTTTCTCTCCGAAGATCGAAAGGAGCGGCTTGTGGTCCGTTTTCAGTGTGAAATGTCGACCATGAATAAACTTGTGGAACTTCGTGACGGCCGTGATGAGTCCAAATGCTTCTTTTTCGATTTGACTGTAGTTGCGCTGTGGTGCAGTGAGAGCCTTACTGATGTGGTATATGGCTTTTTCAGACCCATCTGGAAAACGATGAGAGATCACTGCTCCGATCCCATATTGACAAGCGTCGGCAGCGACTATTATTGGCAGTTTCGGATCGTAGTGTGTGAGAAGAAGATCCGATTGGAGCATTTGTTTAATGTTGTCAAACGATGATTGGCATTCAGAAGTCCATTTGAATTCAGCATCCGTCTTAGTTAATGCATCCAGTGGTGGACGGAATTTGAATAACACTGGTTGTGCCCCTGGTTTCAGCAGAATAGAAGCTTTAGTTTTGGTACATTTACCGAGCCCTGGTTGGAAGACATTGTTGAATTCCTTTTCCAAATTTGACTTCAGTTGTTCGCGGGTTTGTCCAGGTAGTCGCATGCTGATCCAACATCGGAACTTACTGCGCAGATTTGTTGATTTAGGGTTTTCCAGAGCGTAGGATCCTTGGAGATCCAGTCGGTTCCGAGGAGTGTACCCGTTTCGGCGACATGTGCTTGTCCCGAAGCAACGTTTCCGTTTATGACGAAATTGCATTGGAAAGATCCTCTGACCTTTATCGGTTGATGATTTGCTGATTTGACTTGGATTGTGGGTGCTTGTAGTTGAGGGCGACCCAGTCGATTCCAGTCTTTTGTACTGATCAAAGTGACGTCGGCTCCCGTATCCATCTGCATCTGGATTTTTGTTCCATTGATTGTGACGATACGGTAGATACGAGATGGTTCGAAAGTGGATGCGCTTCTAACCATCACCGACTTGATCCTGTTGTTTTTGCCTTTTTGATCTGTTTCTCGCTTTTTGGTTCTGCAAAATTTTGCGATATGACCATCTTTTTTACATAGATGACATGTGACCTGCTTTTGGCACTCCTTTGCCCAGTGATTACCGCCGCATTTGTAGCATGGTGACGGTGGAGCCTTCTGCGGTTTATCCCTCTTGGTTTCCTTTGTGCTTATGGCGTTGATCTCTGATGACTTTGGTTCCAGTTTGCATACGCTTTTGGAGTCAGCTCGCACATCCAGAAGCCGTTTGATATTCTGCTCCAATTCTAACAGTGTACATTCTGGTTTCGCTTCCATAACTTGGAGAGCCTTTGTTCGGATGTCGGAGTAAGTGTTATCTCGTAATCCATTTATCCAGACCATACAGCATACTTGATCATCAGTCATCTTCTTGAATTCGGACGATGTGAATTTTCTGAGGACCTGTCCAGTATACTCTTCAATTGCTCCTCCAAAATATTCCGTGCGGAGGAAATCTTGGCGTTTCCGGAAAATCGATGATGTCGATTTGAATGTCTCTCGAAGTTTGCTGATGAGCTCCGCAAAGTTGAGCTCGTTCGGGAGTTTCGGTAGGATACGATTTGTGAAGTGAGAGTACTCTTTCGAGCTAAGTTTGGACAGAATTACCCTTGATTTCTCACCTTCTTCTAGAGATTCACCATCCTTAGTCAGGACATCCTCATATCGAGCGTACCACGTGTCGAAGGTTTGGTCGTCGTCTGGATCATAGGTGAAGATTGGAATCCGTTTTGATATCGATTCCACTAGAAGATTGTGTCCACTGGTGGGTGTAGTTGTCAACGGAGCGTTTGCCGATGCTTGAGCGAGTTTTGCGAAGGTGTTGACTAGCAAACCGATTTGTTTCGTGAGATCCGCCAATTCCGTAGCCTGATCGCCAGTTGTTGTGTCTCCTGGTGGCGGCATTGTGTGAACCACCAGCCAGACAGTATGTGAGTAGTAGATGAATAAGGACTTTATTCAGTGAATAGGGGACAACAGAATACTTTGGGGCAGGAGAGAGAGAGAGTATCAGAATGATCCGCCCCTTTATCTAGGAGTTCTGACCAATGGAACAAATAGTTACGCGCGTGATGACAATTAGCACAAACAGTGGTTATTGCGCGCGCCTACTTTGGGTAGATCAAACTAAGGCGGATATTAAACTTATAAAACTAATGAAGGTTTGCATAGTCTGCAACAGAAAGAATGAAATCAACGTCACTGTCAGACCAACGACGGATAGTGATTAAGATGAATGATTTGGGAATTGACTTCTCTCTTAACTGTCTATAATTCTTGTGAATATTATTTTCTTGAATATTTTGCTTATTTCATAAAGTTGATTTTTTATGAAAAGTGAGCAGTTGTTTTTAGACAGAATACGGAAATTATGTCTGAAATAAATGTGTGAAATGGATACTTTGCAAAAAGAAAACCATTGAATTTTTGAATTTTTATTTTCTTCTACGATGGTTCAAAAAATAATTCTGAATCACAATAAAAGGGAGATTCAAATCTTTAGCAAGACTTCTTTTGGTAACCGTTGTTGGACATTGGCGCAATTTAAACACCGCTTCCAGGGCCTTCTCTTGATATTCCGTGAATTTTGTCCGAGTTTTCTTCTCTTCAGGTTCTACTGGTTGTTTTTCCATCTTCTCCATCACTTCCAGGTATGTATTCTTCTCATCATCGCTCAACTGGATCCAATTGTAGATACGGACGTAAAGAGTCTTCCCCATATCGGTAAGGGACTCCCATGGTTTTGGATTTTTGCAAATACTTGAATAATATGCTTGAGTGCGTTGAAGAACCAGTTCAGCAAAAGTCTTCTGACTGAGCATCTTTCCATTGAATCCAAATCGTCTTCTGGAACTTTCACAAGCATTGATGATGTCGGCAGTGTTGATTGAAACTCCATTGGGGAGGTTGGCGTCCAAATTGACCAAGGAAGTGTTAGATGACACGGACGAAGTTGGAGATGGTATGGTGCTGGATGGTGATAGACGATCTGATTGGCCGACTAATAGATCCATTGGTAGGTAGGTCTGGCCTGGTAGAGATGGAGCAATTGGCGCTCGTAGATTGACTAATTGTTCCATGGGTTGATAAGACTTTGCCGCTGGAACGAGTGGTCGAAGTGTGACGTTTTGAAGCAAATCCTCATATTCCAGGAAGTCATTGGATTGAACGAAGTTCTCATGTAATCCAGGAATCTTATTCTCCATTTGTCTACGGACTGGTCCAGCAAAGCTCGCTTGGGTCTGATCCAAATATCCAGTTGATCCAATTGAGCTAGAAAAGGAGTCAGAACCATTTGAAGAATCCATTGATCCAAGGGATCCAGAACTTGATCCATTAGAAGACCCAGGCGATGGTATTGTAGATCCAATTGGGGCGAAGAAGTCTTCATCAGTCAGACCACCGGAATACGGAGGTGTGAGACCTGAAAATATTTTCGCTTAGTTTCGAAACAATTTGAAAAAAGGTTATTTTTTGATGATTATTTTGGATGGAAACTCATATTTTGTAACTTACAGGGACTAGAAATTTCGAAAAACAAGACAAAGATGTTTAAAAATACTTACCAGTTTGAGCGCAACACAAGCTTGCAGATTGCAGGTAGTTGTCGAAGAAATCGCCAAAGTTGGACATTTCAGATGAGAATGATATCGATTTAATTGAATTCGAGAGACTAGAGAGTCGTCTTGAAGGGTAAGGAATGCAAATGAAACATCTTGAGGTGGGGTAGAGATAGGCGGGACTTAAAGTGGGCGGAGCGAATCGGAGTAATGGTCCCGGGCAGAACGCGTCTTCACCCTCTGGTTAGGTCCGGTTCACATGTCAAAGATGACACATAGATAGTCGAACTGATCAAAAAACATCTGCCTTCTGAAGAGAACTAATTATTTCTGTAATAATGGCAAAAGGATGTCCGTTGGGAAGGTTTTTAAAGGTACAGGGACTTTCTAGAAACATTCAATTGGAAATCCGTAAAATTCAAAGTCAATTTTCACTCATTTATTTTTGGTAGATCAAACTTTCATAGAATTTGATCTACAATTTTCGCAACCCCGCGTTTTATCCAAATTTTCCAAAAATATTTTAAATGCACTTTTTCCTTTCGTTGTCGCACTTTCCTGCCCAATTTTTCAGCCCAATTCCGAAATTTCAGACAACAATGAACGAGCCCGCCAACAGAATAAATTATGGAACTTTTCTTCGAGACCTCTATCACAAAAGATACCCCGTTCTGAAATCTCACCGATTATTGAGAGTGGAAATAGCCAGAAGTGAACCAGGTAGGTTTTCAATACTGTTTTGTCTTTTATGACTTTAGTTTTTTTTTTCAGCGCCAGCGCAACCTGAAATTCTAAATCCGATACGGCGTGGAACGAAACGAAAGTTGGCACTAGAAACTGAAGCGACGTCTTCAAAAAAGCCAAGACAGGATTCTATAGAAGGGTTGAATCAGGATGAAGACGTTGAGGAACATAATGAGATTCCCAGCGTGGAGCATTCAGAAGTCAAAGCTAGAAGTCCAGAAGAAGAAGACGTCGAGGAGATTCCGAATATCGTTCGAGCGGAAAGTATCTCCCAGAAACCTGAAGGCTCTCCAGCAACGAGCACGTCTTCTGAAGACGAAGAAGTCGTAGGGAGTTATGAGCAAAAAGAGTACGTGGATGATGTCAACGATCGAATTAAAATCGGATTGGTTCGAATCATTTTTGAGAGACTCGCGAAAGAGGAAATGGCGAAAATTGAAAGGGACAATGTTAATATCAAAGACTTGTAAGTTTTTTTTTTGTTTCTTTTTCAACGAAGCTCCTCAAAATTTCAGACTATTCTTCCGAAGCATCTCTAGCACCTGCTGTAAAATTGCTGAAAGTTTTGAGCTTCCTATCCAGAAACTGAAGCTGGTCATTCATCGACAATGTGTGGAAATCAAAATTTGGAATAACCAAAATTCCCTGACGATTCTAGAATACCATGATTCTGACGAAAACGATGGAACCAAATATGAAACTTTGGCAGCTTTTGATTTTTTCTTTCTTCTCAGAAGTCCCGGAATTCAACTCGCAAGACTTGGATTCAAAATTGCTCCATTTGAGGATAAGGATGAGCTATGCTACACGAACGTTTCCCTGCTCCGAATCATCGTTGGCCTACTGAAAAGAAGAGTTGATGAGCAATCGATTCATCTGAACAAGCTGGCATATATGTATTCTAGAGAGGATGTGTTTGGGTTGGGTAGAAAGCCAAGAACCGATTATCTAGATGAAATTGTGAAATTTATGAAGCCCCGGATTCTGGAATGTTTCAAATTACGAACATGGGATGATACTAGAGTTGTGAACAGTGAAAAGTACAGAGATCAATTGGCTTTGGCGATTGCGGAAGGAGAGAATGAGCAATTGATTGGTGGCGTGTATCTGACGGAGCAGTGGAAGAAGGCGACTCGGCTTGATATCAGAGATAAACTGATCATTAAACACTGGAATTATTTTGCGGATTTCAAAGAGATTCGGATGTTATCGTTGAGTCCGGAAGATGTGAATGAGGCGCAGAGTGTAAGTGGGGTTCAGAACTGTTTTGAAAAAGCCGAATGTCAACAAATCATAGTAGAATGTGTCGGATGGGTTTGAAAATTTTAAAGTGTGTTGAACAAAAATAGAGCGTCATTTTTGTTGACAACTTTTTGAAAACTACGCTAGCTTCTGAGATATGCGCATTTAAACAGAGAGTACAACGTTTTGAAAACATTCGAACTTGAATGCCTACAAAAGTATTCCAGAACTTTTCTATTTGTCTGAAAATTTCAGAGTGTACTAAACAAAAACATAACTTCAATTTTTTACTTGACAATTTTCTTCCGTGAATCCATCAAAACGAGATATTCCGCTTCAAACCAACCAAGTGCCAAAACTGAATACTGATTGCTGCGAAGCGGTATATCTCCTTTCGGATGGAATTGTACGAAAAAGTGGTCAACTACGAATTTGAAGCTCTAGTTTTGTTTAGTATAACCAGAAATTTTCAAACCTATTTGACAATTTCTAATGTGTTTTGTAGACATCCAAACTTGACTAAGTAAAAATTTCAGGATTTGATGGATGATCGAAAACAAGCCTACACAATATTAGTGACAAATTCACTGAAACTTGAAGGAATCAAAACGGAACTCGAAAACATTGGAGAATTCAGCAAAAATCCGAATAGTCCGAATTTTGAATTCCCGCTCGAATTCACGAGAGAAGAAAAGGATGGGCGTGTATTCGTCACTAATATTTCATCGAATCGCGTTCAAGTGACAGTCAGGGAAATTGATCAGAATGCGAATGATGCGTCTGTGGATATTAATTGAATAATAATTTAACGATGATAACAATAATAATAATGGAATTTGAAAATTTTTATTAACTCTAAATTTTTATTATTTTTTAATTGTAAAATTTATTATTTCGGATATTTTTATCTGTATTTTGAGCTTATTTTTCACTAAACTGTTCTTATTTTAACAATGATTTTTGTTGGATACAAATTTTAGAAACTTTCAATGCTGACGGTTCAAAAAGAGATAGAAACCTAAAAGAGCTGTTTTCAGTACCCGCTGAGCTACACGGTTGCAGCTTTGAACGCTAATGGGCCGCCCATGGACCACTTACGGCCGGCGGTTGGTTTGCAGGCTGGAAGAGGGATCTGTAATAACTGTTTTTAAACAAACTTTTGCTACAGTAATCCACAATTTCAGACTTGTCTCCTTTTCCAAAAATTTTCTCGAAATTTGATCTACCAATTTTCCCTACCCCGCGCTTTATTTTTTGCTTACAATTTTTCGATCCAGACAACTTTTTTCATCATTATTTTCTCGCTTTTCAAGTGTTCAAACCTCTTAACCTACTATAATTTTCAGATGAACAGAAACCACGTATTTCATAAAAAACCAAAAATCCTGAGAACTCATCTGGAGCCAAGATTTGCCGCAAAATGCTCAATTCGAGAGGCTCATCGAGAAGTTTGTTGGATGATAAGAACGAATCAGCTTCCAACTAATGTCGTAGTGACAGGGGGTCTAATCTACAGTAAGGCATTTTTGTTACAAAAAATTAGAAGCCAAGACTATTTTCAGATCGAGAACCACAAAGTAATAATACACTGGTTACTGTGGCTAGTGATCGGAATTCCGGCACGGTGGGTGTTTCGGAAGCGAGACCAGTGGAAGTTCAAAAAGAGGAGAAAGAGTTGAGAGTGGATGCAGTGAAACGGCGAACGATAATGGATAACGAAAGAAAGCAAGGAGTGGAGAAGTATAAGAATGAGGGTATTCATGAGATTCAAATCACAAAGATCAGAGACAGCTATGAAAATCTAACGATGAAATTGTTCAAGGCGTTGGATAGAGATACGGGAAGGTTGATTCGGACACAGGAGGATCTTTTGAACATGTGAGTAATTTTGGGCCTGTAGCTCAGCAAACTCCTAAAGCTTTGTAAATGATTGGTTTTCTGCACATTTCCATGTCTTTCTGGGCGATTTAGGTCCATCTCCGTCTTGAAATTGAAGTTGGATCACCAACGACTTGCAAGCTGTTCGTTGGCGGCTCATAGGCGGCTGAAGCTGCGATCGCTTAGATTATCCGGTAGTGGCTCAGTGCGTTGGTGGCCCGTTGGTGGTCTAGTGGTGGAAAAATTGCTTTTTTAGGTCTCTTTCCCTTACTTTAGACTGAGTTTGGGCCGTCGACGGACCATAAACGGCCTGGGGTATATTCTATTTCACCCAGCTCGTTTGGTACTGTTTGATTCAAACTGATTTTTGGAAAACGGTTTTTTAGAGCTCTGCTTAATGTTTACGTCTTGCAAACGGTCCTGTGGCGGCCTATCGCCGGTTCAACAGCGATTGGTTGTCAAACTTTAATCAAAATGTTCTTTCCAGATTGTTCCATCGCCGACACTCGCAAAAATGCTACAAGGCATCAAAAAACTATCAATTCCAACTTGAAAAACTGAAGTTTACAGTAGGCTACACGGATGTCAAACTCGAAATTACCATGAAAGACTCACCAGAAGTCACAACTTTGGAATATTGGTGCCAGGGACAGGATCGATGTGCAGTTGTGTACGGAGCAACTAGATTCTATCTGGACAAGTCGTGTGACGAAGTTTCCGCAGTGGATTTGTACTTTCTACTCAAGCATCCTTTGCTTAGACTGCCAGAACTGGAATTTGCCATCGAGCCTTATGACTTGGAATATGATCACTTTCCAGACATTTCGGCAATAGCGATAGTTGGATTACTGTTGATGAATAAGAGATCGTGTCAGACACATGTCAAAAAACTAGGATATATGTTCACAAGAGAATCAATGTTCATGGATAAACTATCTACATTTTCATTGGATACAAGTGTCCTTGCTCAGATGCTCATTCATTTACCATCTCGATATCTCCACGAGCTGTCACTTCGAGTTTGGAATGATTCGGAACTCATTGCAGGGGATAGAGAATTGGAATTGATTGTTAGCGATCTTGTGGAAAGAAATAAGGTGATGGAGCTCCAATTGGATGGCCTTGTGTTGTCTCGTTCTGCATGGAAGCACGCAAAAGTTTTGAATGTTGAAGATAGGCTCATGGCAAAGGATTGGACGAAATTCCTTCATTTTGAAACTGTCTGTGTGCTCAATATGGATGCCAAACGGATTCTACATGCTAAAAATGTGAGTCTGGGAGTTTGTGATTCCGAGATTATCAAAATTTTCAGATTTTCCAACAGAAGGACATGTTGCCAGGGAACGGGTTCACTATTCAAGTCGGAGACGATATGAATTTGTTGGAAATTCAAAATTATCTCATTGCGGAAAGAATCAATGTTCGAAGAGAGGAAAATGAATTGAGTGTTAGTTGTTTGACAAATGATGATAAGAAGTGGATTTTTTTCAAAATTGATAACCGAAAAATTGTGGTCACACATCGGAAGAAGAGACGGGGTGAAGTGGAAGTCTATAATTAACGGATATACTGTAATTATTGTTTAATTGTGTTTGAAATATTATTTTTCTTAATTTGTAAAGATTCAATGAAATTGATCTCTAATATGAATTTGAATTTTTGAAAATCTCATGGTTTCTACGTTTTTGTAGATAATTCACAGCACACGCTCTCCCACAGAACATTTCCGAACTGCAAATTAATTTTTGATCTACAGAAAAAAGTTTGGCGCGATCACAATTGCAGGTCTAAAACCATAATTTCAGAATTTTTTAACTGATTTCAGAATTTTTTAACTGTTCCAAGATGATTCAAATGATTCTTAAAAAATTAATTAGTGGTTATAGATTCATGTATGGTCGTTTTCCGGAAGAAAAAATGTCAAAAATGGTAATTTTGAAAGTTTTTTACAGAAAAAATCTATCTCCTCTTTCAGTTTTTGACATTTCTAGGAGTTCCATAGCTCAAAGAAACCGCAATTATTTTCTCTACATTTTCTATAAATGAATTTTTAATTCGTCTGATAAAACTTTTTTTATAATCAAAAAACAACGCAAAAATGCGATTTTGTGCAATTTCATGAGGGTTTTGAAATATAAAAAAAGTTTTATCAGACAAATTAAAAATTCTTCCATACAAAATGTAGAGAAAATAATTGCGGTTTTTTTGAGCTATAGAATTCCTAGAAATGTCAAAAACTGAAAGAGGAGATAGATTTTTTCTGTTAAAAACTTTCAAAAATGATTATTTTTGACACTTTTTCTTCCAGAGAAGGACCATACATGAATCTATAACCACTAATTAATTTTTTAAGAATCATTTGAATCATCTTGGAACTCCACAAAATCAGATAAAAAATTCTGAAATTATGGTTTTAGACCTGCAATTGTGATCGCGCCAAACTTTTTTCTGTAGATCAAAAATTAATTTGCAGTTCGGAATTGTTCTGTGGGAGAGCGTGCAGCACTTTAAAAACTTTCCCAAAAGGCATCCTTTCGCCATTACCACAGATACGATTGGTCCTCTTTGAAAGGCAGATGTTTTTTGATTAGTATGACGGCATTTTTGACATGTGAACCGGACCTAACCAGAGGGTGAAGACGCGTTGTGCAAGGAACCATCATTACGATTCGCTCAGCCCACGTTAAGCCCCGCCCCCTGTCTACCCCACCTCCAGATGATTCATTTGCATTCCTTACCCTTCAAGACAACTCTCGAGTCTCTCGAATTCGACTTAATCGAAATTATTCTCATCTGAAATGTCCAACTTTGGCGATTTCTTCGACAACTACCTGCAATCTGCAAGCTTGTGTTGCGCTCAAACTGGTAAGTATTTTTAAATATCTTTGTCTTGTTTTTGAAATTTCTAGTCCCTGTAAGTTACAAAATATGAGTTTCCATCCAAAATAATCATCAAGAAATAACCTTTTTTCAAATTGTTTCGAAACTAAGCGATAATATTTTCAGGTCTCACACCTCCGTATTCCGGTGGTCTGACTGATGAAGACTTCTTCGCCCCAATTGGATCTACAGTACAATCGCCTGGTTCTTCTAATGGATCGACTTCTGGATCCCTTGGATCGATGGATTCTTCAAATTGTTCTGACTCCTTTTCTAGCTCAATTGGATCAACTGGATATTTGGATCAGACCCAAGCGAGCTTTGCTGGACCAGTCCGTAGACAAATGGAGAATAAGATTCCTGGATTACATGAGAACTTCGTTCAATCCAATGACTTCCTGGAATATGAGGATTTGCTTCAAAACGTCACACTTCGACCACTCGTTCCAGCGGCAAAGTCTTATCAACCCATGGAACAATTAGTCAATCTACGAGCGCCAATTGCTCCATCTCTACCAGGCCAGACCTACCTACCAATGGATCTATTAGTCGGCCAATCAGATCGTCTATCACCATCCAGCACCATACCATCTCCAACTTCGTCCGTGTCATCTAACACTTCCTTGATCAATTTGGACGCCAACCTCCCCAATGGAGTTTCAATCAACACTGCCGACATCATCAATGCTTGTGAAAGTTCCAGAAGACGATTTGGATTCAATGGAAAGATGCTCAGTCAGAAGACTTTTTCTGAACTGGTTCTTCAACGCACTCAAGCATATTATTCAAGTATTTGCAAGAATCCAAAACCATGGGAGTCCCTTACCGAGATGGGAAAAGCTCTCTACGTCCGTATCTACAATTGGATTCAATTGAGCGATGATGAGAAGAAGACATACCTGGAAGTGATGGAGAAGATGGAAAAACAACCAGTAGAACCTGAAGAGAAGAAAACGCGGACCAAGTTCACCGAATACCAAGAGAAAGCTCTGGAAGCGGTGTTTCAATTGTGCCAATGTCCAACAACGGTTACCAAAAGAAGTCTTGCCAAAAAATTGAATCTTCCATTTGTTGTTATTCAGAATTATTTTTTGAATCACCGCAGAAGAAAATAAAAACTAAAACTGTGTTTTCTTCTTTTTTTTATGAAAGTGTTCAATTCACAAAATGTCGACTTATGAAAAAGGCTAAGTTTATGACTTTTTTTCATAAGCGTTAACAGATTTCCAAAAATCTGTGTTATCCGGAAGTCAGAGATTTAAATGTTTTGTCTTGATACTGTGATTGAAACAGAGATCAGATTGCTTCAAAAAAACTGCTAATCTTTTATAGAAATATACTTTATGAAGTGTGCAAAAATATTCAAAATGAAAATGCTTACAAGAATTTGAGACAGCTCAAAGAAAAGTAAGTTTTCAATCATTCATCTTAATCATCCTCCATCGTTGGTCTAACTGTGACTTTGATCTGTTTCGGTATCATTTCCAAAACATATGTATTCCCATCTCCTTTAATACGAGTATGTTTCAGTGGGAAACCAAGTGCAGGATGGTTTTCAAATTTTCCTTGAATGTCGCTTCTAATATAAGCTTCTACGATTTCATCGTGATCCAAATCCTGACTACAAATCACAGTGTATTGCTGGTATTCATTTCCTTTTAATAGGAGATTCTTGGAAAATCAATTGGTTTTATTAACAATTCAAAATCAAACTCACACGCTGCGCGTTCCATACATCATCACCAGACAATCGAGGTAGAAGAATGTTTGGGAAAAATACACCCACTCCCATGTGAAATCCTCACTGCCATAAAAACGATTTCGTCGCGAATGTCCAGTGTCTCGACATTTGTCCATCTTGGCAGAGCGCAGTGAACACTATGGCGTCTCATCAGACAATTACGTACCATGTTCGGGTAATTGTTGGCTTGCAAAACCATTCGATCATCCCAAGCCCGAAGTTTAACTGTCTTCAATTCTCTGTCCTCCAACAAATAAGTGAAGAGATCTAATTGGATTGGTGCTTCATCTAAAATGTCTGATTCTCGACTGAACATATACGAAAGCTTCGTCACTCTTAGACGATTCGGTTTCTTATCGGATATCAGTCCAGTGATGATTTTTAGCATAGAAATATCAACAAATCGAACGTCTCCTTGAGGCATATTGTCTGGTAATGGATCGATTTTGTTTCCAAGTCTTTTCAGGCTTAAAGTGGGCATTCTCATAAGAAAATAGAAATCACAAGCCGCCAGAATCTTGTAGCTAGGAGTGTTGTACTCAACAGTTCGATTATCACATCTCACTTCTTCTTTTCCTTTTTCATTTCTTCTGTATTCAAACGTTGTTTTACTCCCATCTTCACCTTTGATTTCGATTCGAACATTTTCCAGGCCAATCACAAGTTTCAGGTTCGAAATTTGGTTAACGATAAAATTTTCAGCAAACTTGCAACATTGAGGAGAGATCATTCAGAAGAACAATCTGAAAATTTAGATTATTGCTCGACAGTCTTACTTGGCCACTCTATGCCAAAAAAAACTTACAAATCCCAAATATTTGCAATTTCCACCAAACGAAAATTTTCTGCGTCACGAGGACAACTATCCATCCCTGCTAGCATCAATTCTTCATAGAAATCTCTGATTTGTCCTATTTGAATAATATGGTTGACTTGGTGTGGAAACTCATGTTGTGGGTCGTATATTCCCGCATAGTAGCTGACTCGTTCTCGTTCCCATCTTTGCAAAAAAAGCTGCTGCTCATATGGATTTCTTGGATGCTCTTCAGGAATCGGTGCTTCTGGTTCTTCTTGTCTATTCATTTTTGAAAGTCTTGGCTCTTCTGGAGCCCCAATTGGCGAGCTTACACGTTTGATCCCGGGTCTTTGAGTACTTGAAGAAAGGGAAGATTGATCTGAGAAATCTAAAATGAATTCTCGATTTTTTCATTTTGGCTCACCCATATTTGATGTATCGTTGCCAATCTCCTGTAATAGTCGCCTATGTGCTTCTCGAAATGGAATTCTTCCATTGAAGAATTTTTGAATAAAACCTCCATAAGATTCGCCAGAATTGAACGATTGAAGTTTCCAGTTCGAGCTGGAATTTTCAATAAGAAATAACGGCAAAAAAATTGGCTAAAAACTTGGAAACGATCATCCCAAAAATGTTTCAAATATTGTTTAACAAATGCGCGGAGTTTTGGAAGTTGTTAGATCAAATATTGATAGAGTGTTTTTTTTACATTTCAAAAATTCCTCAATATTCCGGGTTACTGTACAACTAAAAAATTTTTTGACTTTACAATTAAAAACGCTGAAAAGTTTTACTGCCTTTCTATATAAGTGGTCGTTTCCAAAAAGGAGATGTTTTTTATTTTCTTTCTTCCTAGTCTCTGCACCTAAAAAACTTTCCCAGCGGCGGACTTTTCCTCCAGAAGAACGCCTTCAGATATAATTGGTCCGCTCTGAAAGGCAGATGTTTTTTTGACATGTGAACCGGACCTAACCCGAGGGTGAAGACGCGTTCTGCCCAGGACCATCATTACGCATCATTACGATTTGCTCCGCCCACGTTAAGCCCCGCCCCCTGTCTACCCCACCTACAGATGATTCATTTGCATTCCTTACCCTTCAAGACGACTCTCGAGTCTCTCGAATTCGACTTAATCGATATTATTCTCATCTAAAATGTCCAACTTTGGCGGTTTCTTCGACAACTACCTGCAATCTGCAAGCTTGTGTTGCGCTCAAACTGGTAAGTGTTTTTGAATGCCTTTGTCTTGTTTTTGAAATTTCTAGTCCCTGTAAGTTACAAAATATGAGTTTCCATCCAAAATAATCATCAAGAAATAACCTTTTTTCAAATTGTTTCGAAACTAAGCGATAATATTTTTAGGTCTCACACCTCCGTATTCCGGTGGTCTGACTGATGAAGACTTCTTCGCCCCAATTGGATCTACAGTACAATCGCCTGGCTCTTCTAATGGATCGACTTCTGGATCCCTTGGATCAATGGATTCTTCAAATGGTTCTGACTCAATTGGATTAACTGGATATTTGGATCAAACCCAAGCGAGCTTTGCTGATTCTGAGATTCTGAGATTATGAGATTCGGAGATTCTGAGATTCTGAGATTCGGAGGTTCTGAGATTCTGAGATTCTGAGATTCTGAGATTCTGAAGGATTCTGAGACTCTGAGACTCTGAGATTCTGAGATTCTGAGATTCTGAGATTACGAAAATCGAATGGATTCTGAAGGATTCTGAAAGGTTATGAAGGATTCTGAAAGATTCTGAAGGATTCTAAAAGGTTCTGAAGGATTCTGAAGGATTCTGAAGGAAGAGATTTCTGAAGGATTCTGGACTTTTGAATGATTCTGAACATCTGAAGGATTCTGAATTTCTGAAGAATTCTGAGATTCTAAGATTTTGGACCTCTATCAGAATCTCGGTTCTCATAAAAGATTCAAAATTTGTCAACTGATAAAATGTTAATCACATTATCACCAACATTTTATCCGTTGACATCTTCTCGATATCTCTCATAGGAACCGAGATAACTAAACTCAAATAAAAATCCTAATTTTTCAAAATTTCAGTACATGAAAGGATTGGACACAAGGAAAACGAAAAGATGCTCTTATTGCGTAATTTACTCAAAAATCCCAATCAATATTGAATTTCAACACTATGCGAGACACCGTTTTTTCATATATTCACATGGATTTCCAAGAAAAAATTATCGCCAGGATGCTATGTTTATTGAAGTGATGCCAGACAGAGCTTCGGCCATGTTTAGGTAATTAAGGACTAATTAAACTTTAACTAATTATTTGTAATTGTTCTATTTCTTCTATTCTCTTCTATTATTGTTCCTGCTTATTTTTAAATTGATTGTATGATAATAAATTTTTTGATCTATTTCAAGATTTGATCTACCCCTATCCAGCGAGTTATTGTTTTTGATTTTGGTGAATATTTTTATTGTTTTTGATTTTGGTGAATATTGATTTTCTTGGGTACTTTTTTTCAGCTTTTTTTGTCGTTTTTGCGCTTCCAATACTCTTAAAATCGTCAAAATTTTCAGCCCCGCCTCCTCATGGCAGCTTCACAAGAATTAACCAACGAAGAATTAACAAATGAGGTCAGCAAAATTATCAGAAAAGAATTCAAATCGCTTCACACGTTTCGACAAGCTCATAGCGTTGTTTGGGACTTTATCAGAAGACATGACGGATTGGAACAGAGGCTTAGAAACGAAGGTATTCAGGATTTTTAGGATCTTTGTCTGAATATCTAAAAATTGATTTTCAGCACAGGCGAAAGCTGAAAGATTAGAATTGAGACGACAAAAAGAAGAATACAAGAAGCGACGCCGTGAAGGAACACTTTTTCGAAGGCCCCAGAACCCTGACGGCTCCGAAGTGCAGCCAGAAGAAGAAGAGGAGAGTGAATCTGACGAGGAAGAATCCGATGATGATGACGTTGAAGACGAGGAAGAGGTGTCGGAGAATGAGGAAGAGAATGCGGAATTTGCGGATGATGATACTGTAGTCTATACAGTAAGATTTGTGAGAAGAGAGATGAGAAAATTGGCCGAGAATGTTATGAGAAGGGAGAATAACAGAGAGACGCGGATTTGGAAGTTTTATGATATTTACAAGGCGTGAGTGGGATTTTCTATACAGTTTTTGGGGACGGTGTGCAATGGCTACCGTATCCCATTTACAGTACCAGTCAATGAACTGAAAAAGGCGTTTTGTATGTCTTATTGACCGGTACTGTAGCTGTAACCGCGTAGCTCAAAAAACATGCACGGGATACCGTGGAAAAGTGTAAACATCACAAATTCTACACCGTTACACCAAATTGCACTTTCCATGCCTCCACTGTGCCAACAAACTTAGTTTCTTGTAGACTATACTTCCGAAGAATCAACCCAATAATCATGGAACACTTGAACACTTCGGTCACCTATCTCAAACTTATGTGCAGCGTCGAATACATGGTAGTAACGTTCAGATCCACTGAAAATCGTACTGGACCAAGATCAACAGATCCAATCATCAAAATCAGATATGATAAGTCACAAAACACTACTCAAATCTCAAGCGGAGGATTTCAAAAAGTGTTGGCAAATATCATGGATTGCGAAACGGATGCAGCGAGAGATTTGTGTTTTTTATTGTGCGAAACGGCGTTCAACATTGGATGTTTGTTCATTGACATTGAAACAATCGACATGTGTAGTAGACTGGAGCTTGTGGGACTTGACGCCTTCTTGGATTTGTTTGAGAAGACTCTGAGAGATTATCATTTGACTTTGAGAGTTGTGGAATTGAGAATAAAGCTTTTCGGATTCGATCGCTCCTTGATCCACGACACGACTTGCTTGCTATCAGTGTTCAAGTGTCTGAATCCAGGAGTCCTTCGGAAGTTAACAATAGAAACGGTGAATCACAGAGAATTTCGAATCCGCTGCGATTCGATCTCTTCGAAATATATTGTCAATGAGCCGAACTATCAGAATCCTGGAGAATTTTCACTTATGCGACCCGCACTGGAAACTGGGCACTGGAGAAGACTGACTATGCTGGATACGAAGAATGCGAAGATGACACTTGGGTGGGACACTTTATTTCACTTGGCTTTTATTGGAATTACGAAGCTGACGATTGGTACGATTTATGACATTATTGCGGTCAGTTTTGAATCGTTTCAATAGGGTTTTAGGGGTAATTTATGTCGCAATTCCTAGTTATCTCGAGGTAACACTTTTAACTTTCAGCCTATTTATCTCGGTTACTCTAAGAGGTATCAAAAATTTGTTAACAAGAAAACTATTATCATAATATCAGCAATATTTTATCAGTTGACAAAATTTTGATATCTGTTACAGTAACCGAGATAAATAGGCTTGAAGTTGGTTTTTCTGAGAGTTTTAGAAAATTGGACAACTTTTAACCACTCTCCTGCCGTTCGAACTGAAAGAGCTAGCATCTACCGTATGACCTTAAAAAGAAGGACTCCTAACTTTGACACAATTTATTTTGGTTCCTATGAGAGATATTAAAAATTTGTCAACTAGCAAAATGTTAATCATAATATAGTCAACATTTTGTTAGTTGACAACTTTTTGGTAGTTATCATAGGAAACGAGATTAATGGGATCAATGTCAAGCAACCACTGTAGCTCATCTGATAGCAACGAGGCACTTTCCACGATGCTTATCAGTGATGGGAGGAATTTCCGTTTCCGTTTTCCATTTTCCGCCAGGTTTTTAGAGTTTTTTTTCCGTTTTCGTTTCCGCGGAAAAAATTTACGATTCCGTTTCCGCAAAAGTGAAATTCTTTTTCCGTTTCCGTTTCCGTTTTCCAGAAAAATCGCCATTTTTTCCAGCAGAAACGGAAAAAAATGTAAAAAGCAGGGAAATTGATGCAAATATGGTCTTTAAACGTTAAAAAATGAATATTTTTATGTGTGAAGAGAATAAATCCTATAAAAATGGACGAAAAATAGAAATTTCCGTTTCCGTTTTAGTTTTCCGTTTTCCGCCCGATTGTTGAAGACTTTTTTTCGTTTCCGTTTTCCGCGGAAAAAATTCCCTTTCCCTTTCCGTTTCCATTTTCCGTGTTTCGGAAAAATGCGTTTCCTCCCATCACTGATGCTTATATGGCTTATATGAAAAAAATTCCAAAAAATATGAATCTGAAATTTCAGACATTCACTGATCACCTTCCACGCCAACACGATGAAGTCGTAATCGAAGTGAAGGAGCCATTCGAAATGTTAACATTCATCCAGACGGCCTGCAGTCATATATTATATATTCCCCTTCGAGTGGTTGAACCAGAAATCCCACCTGAATACAATTTTCTCTACTTCCGCACATTGTATTTTCCGGTCCTTGGCATGGCGGTCAAACCACACGAAATCCATCTTGCTCTTGTTTATCCGAGAAATCGAAAGCCAGAAGTGTTCACGAATGTTCCAGTGGAGCAGTTGAGATGTAGACGGCAATGGTATTTATAATAAATTTATTGGCTATTTTTTGAAGTTTCAAACTTTTTCTTTTCTTCAATTTTCGTTGTAATTTTATTTATTTTTTGTCTGTTTTTAAAAATTGCAATAAACCTCCATTTACATTTTTTATGTTGCTGCGTTTTTGCACTTTTCGAGTTTCAGTTGTCCGGATATTCTCATACACATTTTTCTAACGATTCGACTTGTTTCGAATTTTCGTCTGGCTTCGAAAATCGGCTATGTCCCAAAAAACCTTTATTTTGCGTAAAAGTTGAAATTCCTGTTTCAGAATTTGCATATTATTTGGAACATTATTTCGCAGTGATGATATCAGAATTTAGAGACTTTAATACTTTTTCATGTCAATTACATAGGAAAGTTCATGATGGCCGAGTACTTCATTAGGTGGCCCAGAAACCCAAAGGTCAAAATTTCGACCAAAAAAGTCGTTTTGTCTGAACAAATTTCAATGAGATTTTTTTAAAGACCTGTATACTTCAGAGAATCTTTCTTCTAGGATTTTCTAAGAAAGGTTCCTCAATTTTTGTTTTCTAGGCCATTTACCATGGTGGCCTAGAAAACCGAACTTGAAGAAGTTAGGCCACCATGGTAAATGTTCTAGAAAAAAATTATTTCGATAAAAGTTAGACTACTCAAAATTAAACAAACATTTTTTTGATCTCCTAAAACTTGATCTACTTGTTTTCAATCTCACCGCGCATCTGTTTTTAAAATTCGATGTTTTTTTTTTACTTTTTTTTTTCATATTTCTACCCTCCCAATGACAACTCTCCAGCCGCTAACGGACCAAGTCGACAAAATCATCGAAAAAGAATTTCAATCCTTTCATACCGTAAGACAGACTCATAATGCTGTTTGGAGATATATCAGAAGACACGACGGACTGGAACAAACTCTGAGAAATGGTAATATTTAACTTTTTTAAAAACTGAAGTTCGATTTTTTTTTCAGGTTGCAGCAAGCTAGACAAATGTTGTTAGGTGCTCCTGGAGCTTCGAAAAATCGAGAAGAATTCGACGAAACTGTGATTTATACACTGGATTATGTGAAAGGAGCCATGACGAAAATGGCTGAAAATCCAATCAAAAGAGCTTGGAATTTCGATCAAGTTTGTATAGCTCTCTATATCCGAAGAATATTCCCAGATCTCGCGGAAAATCCAGAAAATCCAGTCACATTTCTTAAGATCACTTTCAGCTATGATTATATAGATGTAAGATTTGAAAGTGAAAATAACCCCAGAATTAAAATTCGATATGATAAGTCAACTGGAATGACCCGGATCTCGAGCAGAGAAAGTTCTGGAAATATGTACGAATTTGGAGACCTATGCAGCTCGGGATTTGTGTTTTCTTTTGAACGAAACGAATTTGAAATCGAAAACGCAATATTTCTGATTTTCGCCTCGTTCGAGCTACTTTCGTAATTAAGTTTGGTTTTTCGATAAAAAACAGATTCTAAAGATGCTAGCGATCATTTTCCTACCAAGAAATCTAAATTTTGTTCAGAAAATCTCACTAAATTCACAGAAAGAAGTTTCGTTTAGTGTTTCTGGGGCAAGGCCTCGAAAATTGACCGGGAAGCCGCCCACGAAATTTTCCAGGTCCCACTTTTTTTGATTTGACAATATAGTCATGTCGTATTCTAATCGAAGATAAACCGTCTTCCGTAAATTTCCGTAAATCTCTTCCGCTCATCTCTGAAGTCGACAGACGGACACCGGGACGGACAGCTCAACTGTTCAGATTGCAACACATCCATCTGTTTCACTACTATCATCTTCTTTTTCTGTTTCAATGTGCACACACTTTTTATCTGCTCGTATAACCTCTGGTCGAATGACGAAAAGAAACACAGGGAATAGTGTAACGAATTTCTGTTCGATCATCAATTAAACTCTTTCTTTCTTTTCTTCAATTTTCACATTTTAGTTAAAAGACAAAAGATAGGTGAGAAGAAAGGATCAGAGAATTAGAGAAGTCTGCAAAACAAAATCTTTGAAAAAACCATGAAAATAGTGAAAATAGCTTTGAATGTGAAAAGTTTCTGTGAGCTCTTTTTAGTTTTTCATGATTCTTCTGCCCTTTTCGTGTCAAAATACATCGAAAACCAATGATTGAAATAGTTCAAAATTAAAAGATCACTGTAAATTATGAGTGCTTTTGCATTGTTCTGGGTCGAAAAAGGGTAGAAGAACCATGAAAAGCTGAAAAAAGCTCACAGAAACTCATTCTACTAAAAAATTGAAAGTTTTCGAACAAAAAAATTTCATCGAAAATTTCGTATGGGTTTGCCCATCAAAAACTTTGGAAACTTCGAAAAATTTTGCATTTTAAAAACTGATGATTTCTTTCTCCCGAAGTTGAAAAATCAGCGGGTAGTCAAAAATTCGCGAAAATAACCATTTTGGAACCCAAAATGGGAGCCTAGACATCTTTTAAAAAAAGCAAAAAATAATTCCAAAACGAGGGAGTCGAACCCCAGACCCTCAGTTTACATACACGCGCCCACAACCAGTCGGCTACCACACAGCTGGAGAGAGGGAGCGAGGGGGCACAAGTGAGCGGCGTTCCCGGGAGGTTGCAAGGAGGATAACAAAGGAAAGGAGAGTTTACAAAATTGCAGCATAATGTTGAAAAACTGGCCAAATTCGAAACTTCAATATCTTTTTGGAAGGAAAACATGGTATTTTGCCAAAGCTTGTAATTTTGATCGGAGGCACTTATCTTTGAAAATAATTTGATAAAACCCCTCATGTTTCTCGAAAAAATATTTGTTTTAGGGTAGAGCAAAACATTCGAAAAATTGGCTACAGTTTCACAAGTAACAGAATAATATTCGAAGTTATCCGATTCCGTTGGGTGTTCCTGGTGTTTCACATAAAAACATATGTACGTTTGAATTTCCAGATTTTTAAAGGTGGGGGGACATGAAAAAATAATGTTCTCGAAATTCCGTTCAAAGATGCCCCTCGAGGAGTTGAACTTATGAGGGCGATGATTGAGGGTGTGGCAAACTTTCGAAAATTTGACAACTTTAATAAAAATTCATCCAATCATGCTTATTCGATTTGTACCACAAATATCTTCGCTCTGCAATTTTTTCTATTTTTTTACCAATTGTTTGACATCTGTTTCACAGAATTTATAGAAAATTAGAAACATTATTTTAAGATCACATAAATTATGTTTTGTTGTTGGAAATCAAAAAAGAAGTCAGTGAAGTTAGTAACAGAAAATGAAACGCATATTTCAAAAATTCATTAACCACAATAAAAAGTGTGCACCGGTGAAAGCGGTCTTACTACATGTACGTAAATCAACACCATAAAACAACAAGCAAAAATAAAAACAAGAAAAATATGGAAGAAAGGTAGAATTTTAGAGAAGTCGCTCGGTTTTGTTCTCAAAATGGTTCAGCTCATCGTTGGTCTCGTCTTGTTCTGAAAGAAAAAATTGAAGGGTTTGTGAGAAGACTAGTATCCAGGGTTCTGAATGTGACAATTTACTCGGTTTTTGAAACTGAAATTTTTAAAAAAAACCCTCAGAAGTTTTGAAGTCCGGTAGGCTTAAAGTTTATGATTTCCCGTACCTGGATTGATCGAAAATGGAAAAAAAAATCTGGGAATCTCAAACATTTTAGGATTCCTCTAAAACCAGGATCATCAAAATTATTCAAAAACCAAATTTTTCAAGAATTACAAAAAGTGGTAGTTGTAAAATAATTCGGTTTTAAGTTTCACATAAATAAACAACAGTTGTATTTCCACTATTAGAAACAACACACAACAGGTAGTTTCTAAAATTCAAAGATGTCTCATTGAAAAAAACTAACGAGTGAGCAATTCAATCTGTTTGTACTGTCTCCGAATCTTGGCCTTCAATGCACAATTCTCATCTCTCAAATTCTCAATTTCAAAATTCAAATTGGATTGATGTCGTTCGAAACTGTTTCCCAATGTCTCTTGACTCTTGATATTCTCTTCTAATTGTTGAATTATCTGTCGACATCTATCCAATTCCGCCTGAGTCCGTGCCAATTCTCCACTCAATACACTTTTTGCACTTTCAATCGTCGCCAGTCTCGATTGTTTCAATTCTGTCTCTTTCTCTGATGCCTCTGCTCGATCCATTGCTCTTTTTCTCTCTGCTAAAATTTCGGTTTTCGAGTCTTCTATCGATTCTTCATGCTTCTTTTTCCATTCTTCACAATCTGCCAATGCTTTTCTCAGACGAAGTGCCAAATTATCTGCATTCTTTTGGGCAGAATTGAATTGACGAGTCGTTTCTTGTAATTGATTTGTTTGCTTTCGAACCGTCGTTTGCAGTGATTCTTTTTCCTGGAAACATAATGAGAGAGATTGATGAAGTCATCGAACATTTCAAAAATGATTTGAAACGGAAACTTTGATTCATGGAATTGTAGTAAAATTATTTTTAGCTACCGAAAATGCTTTTATAAAACCTCACCCTATCCTTGTACATTGAGCTAAATTATTTCAATTTCTGAGATATCAAATTTTTTAACATTTAAAATTTTTTCGAAATTCTATAATTCTTTTAAAAACACCAGCCTGTTTGCCGCGCCTCCGGCGCTTCAAACAGCTGGAAATAACCTTTTTCTTTTACTGTTCGTCGCTTCGCGACTCACTCTTCTTTAAATGTCACGTCAAATAATATTTAATTTTCAAGATTTTCAAAATTTGCGGACAGACTGACAGAGAGAGAAACAAAGAGACGCAACTTCATTTATTTATTATAAGAATGATATTTGAGCTTTTCAGACTTATACATTAGTTTGAAGTTTCAAGGAATTTATCAAGGTTTTGAATTTCGTTCCGTTTTTTCAACTACCTGCATATATTTTTATGGAGTCTCCAAGTTACAGTTTCAACTAAATCGTTTCTGTACAACTTTTCGTTGAAAATCATTCTAGGAAAAATTGTCATATTTGGAAAAAAATTAGTTTCGTTTCCTGGCTCTTTTTACAAACTTTAAAAAAAACCGTTTCAATTTCTGAATAATCAAAGTTTCCGTCTTATTTGACTGTACAGGTTGTATTTGATGTTTCTTTGCCAGTTTTTTAGAATCAAAAACTCTGAAAATCAGAAAAAAAAAAAAAAAGTTTCAAAATTAATGAATCTGCAGTGAAAAGCTTTTTACATTAGCTACCGTAAACGCTCCAATAGAACACCTACCTATACTTCCACTTCGAGCTCAATCATCTCAATTTCTGTGAGAGATATCAAAAATCTGTCTACTGATAAAATGTCGGGGAAAATATGACATTTTATCAGTTGACAATTTTTTGATATCTTTCGAATGAACCGAGATAATTGAGAACAAATTGTAAAAATATTACTCACTGATTCAACAGTGGACAACTGTGATTTGTAGACATCCAACTCTCGTTTCACTAATTGAAGGTCCGTATTGATTGATGCTTTTTCTCTGAAATTTCAATTTAAGAAAATATTGAACGAAACTAAAAGTTTGAGGCAAAAGTAATTAGTATAACAAGAGAAGCATCTTACAAAAGAAGCATTCAAAAAGAAGCAACAAAAGTATGTTTTTATACATATATGACATTATACTGAAACATGACAGTTTTGCTTGAAAAGAAACCAACTTTTCCAATTCCAAAATCCTTCGTTCCTTCTCCATGACCTGTGAAGTCGACGGTGATCGTTGTAATCCATTGGAAGAAGAAATAACATATGACGTCAAATCATACGTGGAATCTCTTCTACCTCTCAACGAATACATTGATGATGTCATATCAGAAATTGAGTCTTTTCTACTCAATCCAACAGTCCGAATTGATGAAAATGAACCGATGGAAGTGAGGGAATACTGTCTTCCCAACGTCGACATTCTACCAGAACTCGATCTACCGTAATCCGAATCCACACTCGATTCTCTTTGGAAATGTTCAATTTGATTTCGTTGTGTCGAATTTTCGTTTTCCAATTTTGAATTTTTCCTTTTCACATCTTCCACTTTTTGTTCCATTTCTTTTAATCTTTCCTTATGACTATCCTTTAATTCTTTCACACAATCAGCCATCATTGCATCTTTATCCTCTAGTTTTCTCTCCAAACGATTCACTTCGTTTCCACGTTTTCGGCATTCGTCTTTCTGGAAAACATTAGTACTGTTTTTAATATCCCATATAAGATGTCATAAACGTTTGGTATAATTGTATAGATTTTGAATTTTCTGTTTAAAATCAAATACAGCATGGATGAAATTTTCAAAAGTTCATCAGCAAAGTTTTAATCTAATTCTAACAAGCTTTTTTCAACTTTATAATACTTGTCGTATTATATCTTCGTTCCTGTTAAAGATATCAAAATCGGTCAACAGAAATATTTACTAGTATTTTATCAATTTGATACTTTTCACAGGAACCGAGATAAATATGGCCTAATTGTAAGTTGAAAGGCCCTCATGTTGCAAACTCCAAGGTTTTTTTTGCTGTTTTGAGTAGTTTTAAAGTAAAGGTCATTTTGAAAATAATGTAATTCTAATTGAATTTTCAAACTTCAAAAATTCTCACGAAAATTAAATATTCTAGTCTTTGATTTGCAGCAAACTTTTACGGATTTCAGAAGTTGCGAAGCTCAAAAAAGCGAAAAAATACTGTAGCAGTTCTATTATGTGTAGTTCTTTTCGTCACAGTTATATTCTGCACTTTTTATTCTCAAGTCCGGCTTTCGAATCAAAGTTGAAAATCCTTCAGATTCCAAATCAATTATATTCTTCCAGAAGAAACAGTAAAAAAACACTCACCAACTCATCAATTTTCTTCGCCTGCTTCTGAATAATCTCCTTGGCCGTCGTCAATTCCTCATTCAATTTCTCCTTTTCCCTCTCAATTTTCCTCGTCGAATTCCGTTCGTTCAGTGCGATTTGATCGAAACGAGCTATTTTTTCCTGAATTTTGATTTTTATAAATTTCCATTGACAAGAAGCTTACATTCAATTCGGTGATCAGTTTTTGCATATCTCCAATTGTGTTACTTTGTCTTGAAAATCTCGATTTCTCATCTTCCAATGCAGTTTCTAGTCTGGAAATTTTAGTGTTTTGGGGTTTTTTGAATCCTAGAAACTTTGCGATAGTAATCCTCTGTTCGTTCGTCTCATCCAACAACTTCTGAACCTGATTCTGAAGATCATCAATCAGTGACGTCTTCTCCAGAATCTCTTTCTCCATATTTGAATAATGAGTGTCTTGGCGGTTTTGGGATTCTTTGAGCTACAAAAAATAATTTTTTCCGTTTCATAAAATTTTTATTGAGGTGGGGGGTTCTATTAACATTGCTTTATCTCGAATCGAATGTTGAAACAAATCGAATTTTGATTTTGAAGGTTCTTGGACATTAAAAACGAGTTTTACTGTATTATTGTTTGTAGAACTCCTCATCTGGCTTCAACTCAAGGCAAAATTACAATGAAAACTTTCGAAAAGTAATTTAATTTAATAAACAAATTTTCCATAAATCTAGCAATTTTACCTTCAAATTCTCCGCTTCCAAATCCGATTTTTCCATATTCAACTGCTCGATTTTGCGTTCATAGTCTCGAAGAATGTCGTTCATTTTCTGAAAATCAGTCAATTTTGAAACTAGGATTTTGATTTCAAAAAATTTCGGTTTCATATTATCTGTAAGTTTTTGGAAATAATCCTGTAGCAATGTTCTCAATTTATTCGTAATACTGTCAAGCGGTGTATCTCATTCGGATGGATTTGTATAAAAAGATGTGAAACTTTCAGTCTCATCTAACACACTATGTTATATTTCTCTGACATCCAAAAGTGCCAATTTTTAGACAAAAAGAAGAACGAAGATTGATGAACATTTAGCCATACCAGACTATGCTAAACTTTTTGAAATATCAGATTTCCACAATTTTCCGTTTCACTGCATCCATACTAGCTGTACTAACAAAGATACAATGCTCGCTTCAACGATCTCGAACATACCATAACTTTCTTGTGCTGATCATTGTATTTCTTCTCCAATACACTGAATATCTCCTCATTCTGCTCCATTTCTTCCATCGTTTTTCGAAACTCGCGCTCTTTTTCGAGAAGCTTCTGCAAGTATCAATTCATTAATTACATTCACCATTTTGAAAAAAAATACGTGAGTTTTGAAACGGTGGACATTTTTACTGTTTCTAGTAGTTGGTTTATTGCGGATGAAGTTATTGGAGGTGTTTATGCGACGATTCATGCTATTATGCTTGTTTGAGAAAAAAAAAGGTTAGAGAGTATTTTTTGCATTCTAAATACGGTAGCGATATCGAAGCGGAGAGCCTAAATAGCACACATAAGGTGGAGACGCAGACACTTTTCCTCTGCGTCTCAGCCTTTTATTTCTCAGACAAGCATAGTAGAACTCATACTCTCACTTCAAGGAAAACTTTGAAACTTCGCGTTCAAAAGTCTCACAAACAGCAGAATAATTCTACCAGTTATGCGAAATTGTAATAAATCATTAAGACCATTTTCTTGTGAAAGTATAAGCTCACCTTTCTTCCCCTCTTCTCCACTTCTTCCATCTCCTTTTGAACTTTGATTTTTTCGGTTTTCTCGCGATCCAAAAGCTGAAATTTTGAGTGTATATATTCTGTTTCACATAAATGATATTAAATTGGAAAAGTTATTACTTTTTACAGATTTATAGTTCTCACAGTGGAAAATAATTACAACTAACTTGTAAGTTCCCAATTTTCTCATGCGATACATGAAAAGCCAGAAACATTTTTTCTTGAATACAAATGTTTTGTTTTTTTTTCTTTCTTTCTATGATGAAAAATCGTAATCACTGAATTTTTAAAAATTCAAATAAATCCGAACAATTAATAAATCAGCATCTTTAAAGAAGCCTATACTCCAACACTTCCAGCTCAAATATCTCAATTTTTGTAAAAGACATCAAAAAACTTTCAACTGGTAAGATGCTGGTGATATTATGATAAACATTTTATCAGTAAATATGTTTCAATATTTCCCATAAAATTTTTGATAATGAAACTCAAACTAAAAGTACCCGGTAGCGTCCTAGTAGAGCATTTACAGTATTATAAAATCAAATTGTTGCAGATTCTAAAAGTTGTAATATGCATCACACTTTTTCAAAATTCAATAAAATCAATATCATATTGTCACTCACCATGCTCAATTTCAGATTTTCCTTCAATGCCTCCTCATTCTTCGTTTCCATTTCCTGAATCTCTTCCTCCAATTTCATCTTCTCCTTTTCCAATTCCTCAATTCTCTCTTTATCCCGATTTTTCGGTATCAGTCCTCTCGCCAAATGATGAATACGGTACCATGGCCATTGAGATAATTGAGCAAATTGTCTGACATTTTCTTGAATTGTCAGAATTGCTTCTGCTCTTTTCCTTCTCTCTATCAGATCCTTCTGGATATTTCTGTATCTAATATTGGCTTGAATTAAGACAATAAATGAGGAAATGTAGTCATTTCGTTTTCTTTCAAGTTCAGAAATGACTCCAACTTTACAGAACAATTTTGTTTTTCCAACTGCGAATCTCTCTTTTCGAACGTCTGCATCCTGACAAATCATTGCACATTTTTCCTTTTCACTTGCTCTAGATGATTTTTCTTTGTTTTTCAGAAGAAGTGAATATCTTTCAATGAATTCTGAATGTGGAAGACGTGATGGATAGCCTTCACGACAGATTCGAATTCCTTCGAGGACGCCGTTGCATCTGAAAAATGTTCCAGTTTCAAACATTGGAGATGAGCAATTTTATAAGTGTAATTTCTCATCAGTTTATCTCATTTGCATTACATAAATTGGTCTCCTACAAAGAATTGAAACCCACTTAAAGATATTCTGACTTTTTCTGACAAATCTAAACATTATAAACTCCGTTATACATAATTTTGTAAGGTACTGTAGACGAAGCTCCAAAAACTCGTTCATCAAATTAAGAAAACTAATTTCTTACTGTTTCATGTACTCTATTAGTTATTTAAACTTTTATTGATTACATTCCTTTCCCTTTAAAAAACTTACTTTAGCTGTGCCAATACCAACGGCGCATCAATTTTGCCTGGAAGTTTCTCGTAATTCGGAACGACACATCTGATGAAATGAGCGGATGACGTATTCAGCGTGTCCAGAAGACATTGGAGTTGATTCTAAAGAATGTATTATTAACGGTTTCGCATGTGAATAGGGTATCAAGAAATATTATGCAGTCATCGGCCAATTATTCATTCCTATAGTTACTTCAAAAAATGAACAACCAAAACAGTCGAATTTTTGAAAAAAGAAACTGAAAATACATAACATTCGGACCTAAAAAGTAGGCGGTAAATTGCTGAATTTAAATTTATCAGCATACAAAACAAAAATAGAGAGTTTCATTTTTGTAATTGACAACTGTGCTCAGAACTCTGTTGAAGATAAATGGGAGTTCTAAATGCATGTTTTGACCCGTTTTTAGAAAATTCGATTTTTTGTCTCTAGAACTTGCCAACTACGAACACAGCACTTTGTTTTTGTTTGACTTATTCTCAAATTTTCAGACAAATCTAGCCAGTCCTAGACACTTTTTCAGATAAATCAAATATGAATTCGATTGAAAATGGGAAACGAAATTCAGTCGTACTGTAATTTTGGCAGAATTACTAGATAACGTAAGACCGTCATTCTCTATATTCTTTTTGGAGCTCAATTATCTGAATTTCTATAAGAGATATACACAATTTTGATTACTCTATCAGAAATCGAAGTAATTGAGCTCTAATGAGAACTGTCCAGAAACTTATCAAACTAAAAAAACTGTAAACTCACTTTATACATAAACGAAACAGTGGAATTGGTGATGGTGCCACGGCGAACTTTCAAGTTGTTGGCGGGTACTGAAAATAAAAAAAAAAGGATTTGCAATAATTAGAAACTACTGGAATACATATATTAAAGAAATTCGAAGAGTGTTCAAAAATAAATTGTATCATGTTTGTTGAGAACTTGAAACAAAACATTTTTTTTGAATTGAAAATAATTATTCAAATTTAAACGTTTCTGGAACGTCCGATTCCGAAATAGACGAAAAGGAAAACTAACCTGGGGGAAATAAAACCTTCAACAATGGATGTGTGGATTGTGATAAAATATCCAAAACTGAATTTTCCACATTATCCCGATTCTTTTCCAACCATCCATCAATATTATAATGTACTTCTCCAGCATAATGCTGAACTGCAAAATGACGGACAGTCGAGTATTTTTGAGATTGTTTCGATTTTTTGAAACTGGAATCTCCGGCAAGATTCGAGCACAACTTTTCAAGCAGCGATTTTTCAGATCCATTTGGGACAACACATTCTTCTTCGAGGAATGACAGAACTCCCATTGGCTGAAAAATTAACTTTACTGTTTCTAATTCGTTTCGTTTGAAGAATTATCCGGTTGTATTGATAAATCCATAAGCTTACCTTCTCAATTAGATCAATAGTCGGCTGTAAATGGTTTGCAAAATTGACTTGTGTCCATTTGATTCCTTCTTCCAAATAATCAGTTTGCTCTTTTACGAACATGAAATGATTGAAAAACTGCTGAAGTTTCTCATTTGTATAATTGATGCAAAACTGTTCAAATGAGTTTTTCTCAATTATTTCGAATCCGGCAATGTCCAAAACAGCAATAAATCGACTGTTTCGGCAATCTGAAATAACAGAGAGGAGATAAGAAAAATTTCAATTTTTCTGACATTTGTAATATTTTTCAAAATTTCAGAATACAAAACAACTAGTTGAAAATTCGACATTCATTTTTTCACTGTTTGTCGCTTTTTATTTATTTTCAGTATTTATAGTCTTCTGATTGCCAATTGTATTGATTTTGCACAATATGTCAATAAGAAATTTTGATGGTTTGATTCAACAAGTAAACGACAGCAAATGTTTCGTCATTCTTTTCAGGAACAGATACTTGAGCTCAGAATGTCTGGCTCACAAACCATACAAAATATTCTTTTAACTCACAACTTTTGGTATCATCCACGGAAAACGCATCATTACATCTTTTGACCACCCATCCAAATAGTCGTTCATACAGTACTTTAGCCATTGCTGAGGCAGAAGTTAGCGTCTGAAAAAAGTAAAGGGCTTTTTAATGTTTCTTTTTTAATACTAGATTGAAACCTAGTTTTTAAACAGTAAGAATTATCTATCGGGATTATTGTACGGTTGGTATTTTTCAGCCAAAAAACTATACAGTATGAAAAATTCTGAAGATTGTGATAATATTTTATTTAGTGTTTCAGCCAATTTTCAGAAACTCGAACGACGGAATTAGAAACTCCTCCGACGTCTGATAGCACTTTTACTAAATCCGTTATCTGATTCGTATACTTTCTACTGGACGTTTTGCAATCGGACGTTTTAGATCTTTTACCTTTGCTAAATTCTGATTTTTCCTGATAAGCTTATCATGAACTTTAATTGTCGGTTGAGTCAATGCATCCACAAGTTTGGAACTTTTCATTTCCAGAAGTTCAGCAATGTTGTCCACTTCTGAAAATTAAATAAAATCTCAACATTTTCTTATAAAAGAGCCACTCTGTTCAGAAAACCATTCCAAAAATCCTCCTGGTCCCTTCTCAAATTTTTGAAAACCTTCACTCATCCCAACTACTCAAAACTGTTCAGATTGCAACACATCCATCAGTTTCACTACTATCATCTTCTTTTTTAAAATGAGCACACACTTTTTATCTGTTCGCATAACCCCTGGTCGAATGACGAAAAGAAACACAGGGAATAGTGTAACGAATTTCTGTTCGATCATCAATTAAACTCTTTCTTTCTTTTCTTCAATTTTCACTTAGTTGAAAAGATAAGAGATAAGTGTAGGGAGAGGATTAGAGAGTCGGTCTGAGGAACTATTTGGAAAAACTTATCTATACATTGAAAAAAATTGTTTATTAAGCGGTAGACGGAACATCAGAAGCTTTGAAAAGAATGTTTTGAAACCGAAGATTTTTAAACAAAATTTTATGGAAATCTACTTTTTTTGCAAATTTTCATTTTGAAAATTTTCAAATTATTTAGATTTGCGCATTAGATTCAAATACTTTTTGAAAATTCCCTGTTTCATATCATCTTCATGTGACAGTATTTTTTACTTTTCAATCTTCCACTACAATGCTCATATCAAAATTTCTCACCTTGCATACTCTCCACGAAGGATACATCCAAACCACTTCGTTCTCCGAATTTGATATCTCCAATCCATAAAACAGCTGAGAGAACTTGAAAAATCCAAATTTTCTCCTCCTCACTAAATCCAATTTTCGAAAACGCTTCATCTGTCAACTTTGCAGTTTCTGCATCGTTAATTTCAGCATCATCGTTCCGAAGATATTTGTATTGATCTACTCGTTTCGACAGTTTTAGAAAACTTTTGTGCGGATTATCAAAATAATTTGATAGCATTTGATAGAAAATATGGAAATTGCGATCTCCATCGCTTTGAGAAACAACTCGTGATTTTTCGAGAAGGTCTGAAAATTGGATTTTAGCGGGTTTAAAGGGGCGGAGCTCACAGCATTCGATTTTGGCGCCTATCAACTTGGAATCCTCGTCAAACTCAATTCGAATGAATTTTCCCTGAAAACCGGAATTTTCAAAATTTACTGTTCCACAAAAGTGTCTAACTTTTTCCCATAATATATTGAAATCGATTTGTCAGCAAACAATTTTCAAATTCATTGTTTCACAAAATTGTTTAATTGCTCTCCAAATTATTTTTTTTCAGTTCATCTGTAAAATAAAAATTTGAAAAACTTACAAATCTGGAACTATTACTATTATGAGTTGTCCTCGCATTTCCCATTGCTTCCAAAAGTACACCACTTGTCACTACACAATCTCCAATTGTGTTATTTGATCCACTGGAGCTTAGAATGAAATCAATGATTTTCTTCGTGTTTTCCGTTTTTCCAGCACCTGATTCTCCGCTGAAAATTTCTTATTTTTATGAGGACCTAATAATAAGTTTTCCGTTTCATTTAGGTGATATGCAAGTTTTGAAACAGAAAAAAACCAATGATTGATCTGGATCGCTTCTTCTACGGAACTATGACCCACATCACTTTCTAATCTTCTTTACATCTCGAAACAGTAACTACTCACGTAATGAGAATCGACTGATTCCGTCCACCTTTCAATATTCCATGAAATGCATTCTGTGCAACAGAATAAACATGTGGAGGTAGATCACTCCGATGCTGGTATAATTGTTTGACGTCATCAGAATATATTGGAATTGTTCTCCATGGATTGATGACGACACAGAATAGACCGCAATATGTCTGCAAATATTATGTGGATCAGAAAATTTACTGTTTCAAGAATGACATTCTGTGAACGGATAACACAATGGGGCTTCATCAAAATTCGTTTCCTTTTTTCGATGATAAAAAGATCAGACCCGGCTAGACTTACATGGATCACATTAGACGAATATCGAATATTGAGGACATGGAGTACTGTAGCTGCATTTGGTTGTGTCAAAGTACACAAATCATCGGAATAGTTGTTCAAGCTAGGCACTTCGCATTTCGTTTTCTCGATTCGTTTCTGAAACAAATGTTCTAGGAATATTGCAAAATCAAGTTAAAAATGACAACTTTTTGAAAGTGTGCTTTTTCCAAATTTATCTTACTGTTTTTAAATGGCAGAGAATCTATGTATCAGAAGAATACCTATCGAATAAATAATTGTAGAACAACTGAAACTGCAGACTTTTGGGAAAAGTTGACTCAAAAAAGTTAAACATTATTAATGTCGACAAATTAATAGTATATTTTCGCCGATAATCGTTTCATTTCATAAGTTCATAAGAATTTTCATTATTCTTATTTCGAGATGTTTTTAAAATTTTTTCTTTCTTGTTAGGTATATGAATTTACACATTTTTCTACAAATTTAGACGTTAATAGATTGGCTCTTTTCGGGAAGAACGGTCCCAAAGCGGGACCGTCGGTCCCATCATCGGACCGCCGGTCCGAGCGAATTGCGACAACGGTCCCGACGTTCCGACAACGGTCCCAAGGGTACGACAACGGTCCCAACCAGACTTAATCTGGAACCCCTATTGGAATCTTCGGAAGTTTTAATTTTTGTTTTAACTAAGAAACGTATTTTAGCAACAAAAACGAACATTTTGCTGATAATTGAGAATTCCAGCACTTTAGACTGGAATTTTTTCAGAGTGTATTTGGTTTATAATTATAGGTTCAGGCTGAAACGCTTTGTTCACATCAGTACCGGGAAAAGGCGTTTTGGTCTAAGCCTACAATACAAAAAACGTAATATTTTGTGAAAAATTCCTGTCAAAAAGTATTGAAATTCCCAAGTATAAGTAAAATGTTAAATTTTCCAATGGATTTTCAAAAGACCATTCCGTTTTTTTCTGTATTTCGGGAATAGGGTTTCCAGATTAAGCCTGGTTGGTACCGTTGTCGTACCCTCGGGACCGTTGTCGAAACAATGGGACCGTAGTCGCAATTTTTGGGACCGGCGATCCGATGATGGAACCGGCGGTCCCGTTTTGGGACCGTTCTTCTCGGAAAGAGCCAATAAATTTTGGTACTTTTTTGAAAAATTGTGTTTCATTCAGGGCTCAATTACTTTATACATTTGAACGGTTAATGCTCAAATGGTATATTTGCTGAAATAGAGTTCCAAAATCCCCAAGACTCCACAACCTCATAATTTTTGAATTTTCAATTTTTTGAATTTTCAATTTCTTCACAAAAACCCCATCAATCCGTCTATTTTTATCATTTCCTCCTCTCTATCCCATTTGCCCCCTTGGTTCGTCTCTTCATGTAAAATAAGTGTCCCATTTTCCATGATTTTCCCCTCAAAAAAGTCAGCTGTTGATCATTGGATGCGTGCCAGGGTGACACAGAAACATTCATCATGGTCCCCATTTTTTCTAGAAAATACGCTAGTTAAGAATAATGTGCAACTGGTTGGAAGGATAACATGTTCCCAACAAGTTCAGAGAACAATTTTTGAAATTCCCGCCAAGAATTTTTTAAGTGCAAAATAATAGAAAAGTGACATATAATGTGCACAGAGGTCATTCCCCTCTCGTCTGCTGCTGTCAGTACTTTACACAATTTGACACAAAAATATTTTTCTGCGGAATAGAAAAGAGAGGGGAATGTCTTTTCCTATTATCCTCCGGTCATATATATTTTTTACGAAATTTGAGACGGGACGAAATGAGTGACCCTTTGGACGTCTGGGAGAGGAGGTAAAAATAACATGGAATTGAGAAACAAAAAAAGTTTATGACCGGTTTACGGAGGTTCGTAAATTTTCATGGGGGGAGAAACGGGAAGAGAGGGAGAAGAAGAGAATATAAAAATGTTTGGAATAGTTAAAAGAATCTATTCGATTTGGGTTGACGTTCCAAACCTCTATTAGAAGATTCCCGTCCCTACCCCGTCAACCTTGATCCAATTTATCTCGGTTCCTGCTAGACGAATCAAAAAATGTTCAACAAAATGTTTTCAAACTTGTAACAAACAATAAATTAGTTGTCAGATTTTTAACATCCTCCCCAGGAGACGAGAAAACTTGATTTAAAGTTGATGGTCCGGAGAACATTCTATCAGAAGTATAAGAACCAAATAGAGAAAATGAAATGTTAAACTAAACTGATGGACCGCAGATACAATACTTTTTCATCGAAACATCTCAAAACTTGAACCTTGTGAAACGGAGGAATTTCACAAAAAAATTTGACTTGAAGACAACGGAAAAATCGATTCGTAAATCCCATTTTCATTTTAGAAACAAAATGGGACAGTGATGATTTTTCACTACAGTGGAGATATTTTAGCAAGATTCAAAGAAAATTCTAGAACCATAGCTCAATGAAATTAAGTACGAATTCTCCTGAATATGATATTGATAAAACAGAGAAAAAAAACAAAAACTAATTTGACAATAATTTCGTAGACCATTTTCGAGTTTTTCATGTTAGACCATGACACTAAACCAAAATCGGGATGCTTTTAACTTTTTATTATGGTTTTGTCGTAGTAGGTCGACGTAATCTTGTTTTCTTTTCCAGAACTCAATTTCTGGAAAACATGAAACATAAAAATTTTGTAAAATTTCTTAACTGACAAAATGGTCAATTTCAGTGTTTTGATATTTCAAAAAATCTACAATTTCACTTATTGTCATACTTGTAATCCAGGAAACACAACAACAATGATACACATTGACTGCAACGTAAAACCATTAACCGAAGAAATAGTGTGTAAGAAGAGGAGAGTGCAGAGAAAAGAGGAAATAGAGATACCTGGTCGAGGTTTGACCGTTTCTCGTGTTTCTTCGTCTGTTATTGTAAGCGTTCCGGTGACCATTCGTCGTTTTCGTGTCTCCTTTTTTTGCTGTAACGATACTTTTTTTTTTTGAAAATTCGATCAAGTCGAAAAAGAGGAAAATAGGCAATTTTGAAGCCCTCAAAAAGCTCAAAAAAGTCTTCAAGAATTGATCGATTTGTCTGAAAATTTCAGAGTATGCTAAACAAGTTTGGAGCTTCATTTTTGCAATTGGCAACTTTTTTGCTAAATTTCATACTGATGAGATATGCCGACTTTACCAAACATGA